TATTTGTTAAAGAAAAGATTTGTAAAAAAGGGAAAAACACTGGAAAATGTAAAATCCATGTTACATATTCGAATATTAATTTAACTATTTTAATAATATTAACTTCAATTTTTTTAAAAGAAATATTCGTCTTAAAAACAAAATTTCAATCTAATTNAAAAAAAAAATGATATTCAGAAAATAATAAAAATTCGAAATAGAAACTTAAACGTGGCTTTTCTTTAGTCACATTACTCTCGCTAAAACCTAGTTATTAACCAACTGACTTCATGAAAAAGCTTCGGAAAACATCAATCTCCAATTGAAAACTCCAACTCTAACACTACTACGATCAACACAGTAAGTTTTAAAGTCGACACGTCCGAGCGGACCTTCGATCGATCTCCTGCCTTCAGGCTAGTAACGTGTTAAATTTATGGAAAATATTGTTGACGTTTCCTTAAACCAATTTGCATTATAGAATACTAGCAAGCAAATAATAATATCAAACAATGTGCACGAAATCTTTTTAATTACTGAGTTTAACCTGTTTCTTTGAAACTGATATGACTTTTAAAAAATTTTACGAATGATGGCGAACTTATTTATTAAAAACGAGGTATGGGAAAAACCATTGCAGTTATTCTTGTTTCAACTAAGGTTTGTTTAACGGTACAACATGCATTTACAGGCATGTGGGCCCAATTAAGGCTTATAAACCTTTGTCAAGTGGAAGAGCATATAATACAATATAGAGAAGGATAGCACGAAGATACATTCAGGGTAGCAGCGGGATTTGAACTAGCTACTTACCCGCTTCGCGCAGTTCAACTAAGGGTATGCAATTTATTCAATAGTTGCTACTTGGTGTTTTCACTGACTTATGACACTTACATGCGGCCTTCTTGAGTGAAACTCAAAGCGATGTAATAAGCTGGCAAAATTTTAGAAGGAAGGCACGAAACTTCACTGAATGAAAGTAAATATTTTGTTTAAGTCGCACTAGAGCTGCATAATGGGCTGTTGGCCTGGATTTGATGGATGGGCTTGCCTGGGAAACATCTCTAGAGGTCATCCGAAGACATGTTATCACACTTTTCGTTCCTCTGCAAAGAGGAGCTCATTCGTTCCCTTTCTTCACGGATATTGCATGCATTTGGTGAGTCTTAGCAGAGTCGAGGATCGAACCCAGGACCCTAAGACCGGAGTCAAAATCTCTAACCACTAAGATACTACGGCCCTCATTGAATGAAAGCTATAGTCTTTTTTATATGAAACAAACGGAAGCCTAGCGGTTTCAGGTTAGATTTCAATCATGACGCTGAATATCGGATTTTCATGTTTTAGAGGCTTCCTTCTCCAATATGAGGTCCCGCAGTGGACTGATCGTTAAGACACTGTTCCCAGAAGATCGCAGAAGTCAAGCATCATTGACTGCGGGTGGGTGGCCACATGGATTAGTCTGCGTAAGGACCAAGGGTGTGCGGCATTGGTCCTCGTTAAACTGTTCTACCTTAAAGTGCTCGACTTCGCGTGCAGGTCGTCGGGCTACCGAAGCGGGGGTGCCATCCTCTCGGCAGAGGATCAAAAATTGTGATGGAATGTCTTCGAATCATCCTCAGGAATGTTTCCCAGACCGTCACCAATAGCCCATTGTGCAGCTCTAGTGCGACGTGAATGAACTACAACTACAACCACCAATATGAGCTATATTTTCTTTAATTTGATAGTAGCTTAAAAGCCATAGAGAGCGAGTAGTAGTAATAGTTTATTTACGTTGCACTAGAGCTGCACAATGAGTTATTGGCTTCGGTCTAAGTAACATCCTTGAAGCTGATCGGAAGATATGAAATTGCAGCTCTAGGGAGGGGAGAGCTCCTCCAATTTGGTAGCCAAAGGGTCTGCATGCAAAGTCGAGCACTTTACAGTAGAACAGAGGATTTATACTGCACAACATCGGTTACTTCGCAGACTGATTAAAGTATTCACCCACCCTCACACTGACAGCAGCCATTGATGCTTGATTCCGCTCACACTGACCGCTTGATTAACAATCAAGCATCTCGTGTCTTAATGGACAACGCGATACACAATTGTTAAGACACGATATGAAGGGAATCATGTCTTAACAATCAGTCCACTGCAGGATCAGTAAAAACCGAGATAGAATGAATTACATAAGTTAAAGTTCACATAGATCAGTTTCAGTGCGTTTGGTGCTCTGAAGCATGAAGGTAGTGCGTTTGAACCCACCAAAATTTCCTACGTATCTTCATGCTCTCTTCCTCTTTTTCGGCTAAATGTTTTTACACTCTAAAAACAACCCAACAACTTTAAAGTCACTTTATTTAATTTTATCTCCAATGTTGAACTGTTATCACGTGAATAAACATACCGAAAAATTCATGTGCAATTAAAAAAAAGAAAGACTTCGAACAACTTTTTATATGAAATTCAGAATTTCATGTACTAGGACTTAGTCTTAATGGAGGTTTGAGAGGTAAACTTAAATATGCTAATCCCTTAATTATTTAAGTTATGAAATCAGACACAAAACATTACTGAATAAACATTCCTTTTTTTCTATTGATTTGAATTTTGGACCCTCAAAATATAGGGGGTAGCCGGAATCTGAAAAATATCGTCCCAATAGATTGGTCAAGATAGCGGTCCAAACTATTATGACCATTTACAGCTAATTTAACTTTCACCATTTCTCGGGAATTTTTCATGTGAATCGAAAACTTTTTGCACACAATTATAGAATTCGCTTAGCCGAAGGTATGCAAGAAATAACTTTTAATAATTATTTGTTATTTTTATTATTTTACTTAATTGCAGTCGAAAGAGATTTGAATCGTAATACATACAAATTTTTACGCAGTTCAAAGAATGCAATATTAAAAAGTAAAACGCATAATTTGAACGAAAGCGGTCGAATAGTGAGTGCTTGAAGAATCGAATTTTAAATAAGTTGTATTTTTAAAAGTCGATTTCCCTTGAGCATTTTCCCTCGTGAAATCACTTTCTTAATAATTATGTAAAAATTTGCGAACCTTACAATTCAAAACCTTTTCAATCATTGTTGAATAAAGGATAAAATATAATTATTATTTCTGCATGCATTATATTTGGACAAACAAATTTTATAATTCTGTTCAAAAATATTTTGATTCGCTTAAAAGTTCCCGGAATATTGTATAACATGCAAAAATAAAAATTAACAAAAAGAGGTCAAAGATTTGGACCGCTTTCCTGATCGAACTATCGGGACCATATTTTCCATATTACGGCTACACCGTATATTATCAGAGTCAGATATCCGAATCTGTCGGAAAAAAAGGTATGCTTTTGTGTCTGATTTCGTAACTTCAAAATATCGTCTGAACTAAATGATCAGCATATTTGAGATCACCCCTCAAGTCATTAAGATCGGGTCCTAGTGCTGGAATATCCGTTCATTAGTTCAAAAATTATTCAGGGGATTCATCTTTCACACTGTACATTAAGGGTGTGCAAATTAGTATTGAAGTGAGAAAAAACAGATAAAGCTATCGTAATCAGACAAACCACAATGGAAAAAAGTGTGGGTGTGTAGAGCATAAAGAACCAGGTTGATTGAAGGTTGAAACTTGGTGTTTCTAATAATCATCGAACAACCTTTTGTTTTTCTCAATCAAACAGGTTTTGTTATTTGATACGACAGCTTTTCTAAAAATGTCATTTGTCGGATTCTGATAGCGCTGTTGTATTTCCTTCGATTTTTTATTAAATTGCAACACCCGATTTGCCCTCCTTAGTCTTCATTTCTGATTTTAAAAGTATACATTAAGGATGGTCTTTACGGAACACCCTGTGCGTAGCTAGAGAGTTAAAACGCCAACCTTCATCTATCATACTGTATCTCAAAATTGAATCAAGTTAGCATGTCTTGTATACTAGTGAATTGATGTTTAATAATCGTAGGGGTAGTTACGCCACAATACTCCCAGGCCATAAATTTATTAGGGATCGAATTAGATGTACGGATACCCCTAGTTGCTGTATTTGCGAAAACCCAGGATAGCTAGATTAAGGTCACTGGATTTTGAGCTTTAGCCATGAGAGCTGTATTAGGTTCATGGTTATGCATGAGGAATCTCCTGTGTTGCTATTAGCAGTCGAGTGTGGACAGAAACCCATTGTGTGTAAATGAGACTGAGAAGCAACAGCGCGAGGAGTTCGATGACGCAGTCACAAATAGCAAGACAATTATTCAATGTGAACCATACATCGAAGTAGTCGTCATATCACGTTCGCAGGTCATCTATGTGGGGAAAGACCATTAGTCAATGCCAGCCTTCATCTATCAAGAGGTAATTCAAGATTGAATCAAGTTAGCATGTCTTATATACTAGTGAATTGATGCTTAATAATAGTAGTGGTAGTAACCACATACTAGCATGAATGGCGTTGAAAATTTTTTTAATGAGTTTTTAAAATTAATGTACAGTTTAGACTAAGTCCTCTTTGTAACCAGCTGTGTGACTGAATCATTAGAAAAATTCAAATTACTGTTAAATGGATAGTAAAATTAAATTTTAATTTTTTGCCTTTTATATCTTTATTATTAATATTATTTTATTCGTCTACATGTTTTCATTACAGCTTCCAACTGCTTCATTCATGAATTATAACGCCAAAAGTTAACTAAATATCCAACGTAAGTATTTTGCTTCTTATTTGCTGTAATACAAGTAAGAGTTTGGATGCTTTCGCAAGAATATTTTAGCAATTAGCACCTTCAGAATCTTTTAAGACGTATACTCAGCCCATTCTCTGCAGAGAATTGAGATTGATTCATTGTAACTTCGTTAAGCTGAGTTACACGACCCACGGGATGCTAAATCTCTCTGTTACCTATGAGACCATCGATTACAACCATGTTAAGATCGATTAAAGTCAGTTGAAATGATACAACTATTAACATAAAAACTGAAGCCATTCTTCTCGGCAATATCCATAATTTGAAACAAAAAATGTAAACAAAGATATTAAATTTATTTCATAGGAAGCTAAATTAAAGATAAATGCATTAAAGGAATGATTTAAAACTGCAGCGTGATGAAATTTAGTTTCTGGATCTAAAACAACAGCAATGAAACAAAGTTTTTCATACATATATCATAAGTGCTCAACTGCTCAACTTTCATCATCAATATTTCTACAGCTCCTCCAAGTCAAAAATGATTCTATCATTATGTAGCCACCACCAAATATATAGGAATAGATCTCGACGCTGGATAGGGTAAATGGTGTAGGAGGTTGGCGAAAGCAGTTTCGTATGGCAGAAATTAAGCCTAAAGAAAAGACTACAGCAGCCACCGTTCCACTTCTGATAGCTTTTTTGCGTTCCATGACTGCAAAGATAGAAAATCATTAAAAAAATAGGATTATATAAAAGTTAGTAATATTTCAGATCTACACTTAATTTTTTTTTATTTATTTGACAAAAAATGCATTTTTCAAAAAAAAAAAATCACTTTTGTTATTAAATTGTTAACTTTTAATACTCATTCCTGAATGTCGTATCATTCATGCGTTTAAAATTCTTAACTAGATAGTTCAATTATAAACAATCTACAGAATAAACAAGTAGTCGCGCTCTTAACAAGGTTTTTCGAAACTCTTTCGCCTAGGAAAGTGAAACAAAACGTAGTTCAAGTGCCTTACACTTGAAACAAAGATAAAATTTCAAATCTTATTGCCATCTTGACGTGAAGGTCATTTGGGTATTAGAATGGCTAAACATACATTTTTAAAAGCTACTAATTTTTTTAAAAATCGCCAATTTGGCAACATTTTTCCACCTGGATGAAAATTATGAAAATCATTGCCTTATTCATATTTTTTGCAGTACTGGAGTAAATTTTTAAGTATTAAGAGGAAATTAGACCACAAACGTTTTACATTTTCACAAAACAGTGGTTTTTTTTTCCATTCTGATGTTTTGCGCCATTTTCAGAATAAGCATTGAGAGTGCTAGCTAAAGATAGGTTCAACTTGACTCAACAGTCATGAGTGACTGCTGCAAATTCACATAAGGTACGAAAATGGTATATTATTCACAGAAAGAACGTCATTTCCTGCGACTTCGTATGTTTAACACGTTTGCGGCCGAACTTGCGACAGAGCGTGATGGTCATTAGAACAGCATTCTTAACACGCTTTCGTGCCAGTGCACTGTGGGCCAGAAAACCATGATCTTTGGCCGAAAGTCAAAAATTAAATTTTCGACTGAAATATTTGTAGGCAGTTTTAATATAGCTCAAACTAAGTATTTATAATCATTCCAAACATTATAGCATACTGTTTGGACCGACGAGAGTACAATGTAATGAAAAATATGTTTAAAAAATTTTTTTCGCTTTACGTAACTTTTAAATTTTTACTTCAGAAATATATATAGGAATTTCACCTTACTGCTACATTATTATCAGAGTAATTAGTCTGAAATTATAGTACAATTTTTCAATTTGTTGGATTAGTTAATGCTCTTGACAAACTTATAGTTAATATCTTATCATTTGACATTTTACAATGTTTGAATGACTTTCGAAACTTAGTTCCAAAAAGTTCTACGAGGTAATTAGCTAAACTTTTTTTTGTTGTCTTCTTTGATGTTTTTTCTTCCGAAAAAACCTGCCCCATTTTGCCCGTATTGCAAAGGTGAACTAAATATACCGAAATACAAAAATTAGGCTTTTTTTTCATGTTTTCGCATTAGTTTGTAATATTACTTCGGAAATATAATCTGGTTTTCATTTTTAATATAAAATTACGAAAATTATTATATTTTCATATTTCATATTTAATTATTTAAACGTACAATATTATTTTTTTTATTTTTGCTCGCCATATTTCAGCAGCCATTTTTGGGGGGGGGGGTATTTTTTGTGTATTTCAAAATTTCAACTATGAATTCAATTTACCTGCACATAAAAATCCGTAAATAAAAACCTCCAAATTTTGAAACAAATTTTATCGAAATACTAATTTTGGCCACGAATACTTGGATGCTGGCCCACTGTGCAGTGAGTGATAGTTATTAAAAAAGCATCGCTTGGTCGCTGCCTATCTCCCTCCAGTGCGTGATAGTTACAAGAACAGCAACCCTATTGTATATATTTGAAATAAAAAAGAATCCAAAAAGAATATACGATATCTTTCTAATCACTAGTGAGGAAGGAGAAATGAAAAGCATCAAAATATGATTGATTGAAGAAGGAAGCAGACACAGGTAGACAGAGTAACATTAAAACACCAAATATTACCTGGCGATCACACTGATTTTAGTATTTATCATTCCTTTGATTCGACAGAATTTGATAGCATTTTTGTTTTTCTTAGCTTAATCATTAATATGAATTTGACACTCATACTTATGTAGATTTTTTTTGACATGAGTCAAAAGCAAAAATAGATTACGTCAAAGGCAAAAATAGATTGTTTAAGCGAATTTATTAACCGATATATTGATTAACCGATTGCAATTTACAGAAGCAATTTCTCGCTTTCGGACTCATTTCTCTGTTTGATGTGCATAATATCTGAAATTTTATACTGCTGTTTTCATTTTATAATGTTACAATATTTTTAATTAAATTTTCTATAAATGAGTGAAAATGTTGTTGTTGTTGTAGTTACTTTACGTCGCACTAGAGCTGCACAATGGGCTATTGGCGACGGTCTGGGAAACATCCCTGAGGATGATCCGAAGACAAGCCATCACAATTTTGATCCTCTGCAGAGGGGATGACACCCCTGCTTCGGTAGCCCAACGACCTGCACGCGAAGTAGAGCACTTTACGGTAGAACAGTTTAACGAGGAGTAATACCGCACACCCTCGGTTCCTACGCAGACTGATCCGAATGAAAATGTACAAAAGTTTAAAAATAAAATAAATTCTTATCTACAGTAAGCTATTTTCTTTTGAAATAACTTTCTCGTTATTTCGTCATTTAGACCGGGAAATAAACATCTGATGGTAAGCAACCTTGAATATCAACAATACTACGTTTGTTGTTAGTTTAAGAAATATCTGCCTGAATTATATAAATTCCTTACATTATTTTCAAGTCTAATAATCAACTATCCAGGCGACTGAAGTATATCCATACTTTTACTCTGTTGCAGATTGTGGAATATTAATTGTATTTTAGACAAGAAAATAAAAGATTTGAAAAAAAAAAAAAACTTTCAGATTTTTTGACGGTAAATATTTTATAAGTTTTTGATAAAATGAAATTTTATGTCGTCGATTGGATAACACTCTCTACAAGATTCCCTTTTTTAACATGTTCCATGATTTTTTTTAAAAAATTAAGTTATAAAATATACGTAAAAATTGTTAATTGCTTACAACTTATAAATATCTTACGGTGCGTTCTGAAAAATGGGAGCCATTGTGAAAAAAACTAGCATTAAATTAAGCGTTTTTTTTCAAATCAGAATCAGAGACAGTTGTAGTTCAAGAACAAGTGATAGTCTGACGGTGCGAGGTCAGGTCTGCATGACGGATCATCGAACGGCTCCCAAACCAAACTGTGGAATAAGATTTTGAGGAACACCAACAAAATGGGATGTGCGTTATCCTATGCCTTAACTGAACAATCCTTGCCGCGGTGGCTTAGGGGACCGAGCGTTTGATTCCCAATGAGGTTTCCTTAGTTCGAATCCCAACGGTGGTTGATTGATACGAACTCTTGCTTCTGAATCGCACCAACCACAGTGCCGACGTAAAATATCTTCAGTGGTAGACGGATCATGGGCTGGAAACTCTTTACCGTCGAACTAAACGGGATTTCGTTGTTTTCCCTTCTGTATGAAACTAACACAAAATCTGGTTAGATTCATCAAAAAGTAAAGTCCGCCACGAATGATAATTGATCCCCAATGCTTGATCCAGGTATTCTCTTGCCTTCTGGGTTGGGTTCAAAATTGCAAGGATACGGAGCTTAACTTTGATAGACGTAAACTCAAAAAATTGGGTCGATGGTTCAACGCCGGTTAAAGAATAAAATAATTGCGCATTCTACGCCTTTTATTTTGAATCTGACGCAATGCTTCACAATATCGTATTGAATTTATTCACCGTTTTCAGTAATTTTCAGTCGGTGGCTTCCGCAGTCGTCTTAAACATTTTGAATGCTTGTAATGCATGTAAATTCTACACAATCAGATAATAATGGTGTAAGTGCACAAACAATCAACCAGAGTTCAAGTTGATACATGTTTCATAATTTTGTTGTTTAATGATCAAATAAAAATGTGAGATAAGCATTTAAAATCAAATAAATGTCATTTAATGCTGAACTTACCTATAAAAAGTTCAATAGATTAGAAATCCATTTAAATTAGCAAACAATACTCCATACCTCATACACACAAATGATGGAGTTTATGGCGATGTTTTTACTTTTTTTAATTCGTTTCTGGCTGCTTATTTTCACCTGGCCCACTTAACAGAACTTGCACCTACGTAACCGTGGAGTATCGTCCTTCCGAAAATACTCTGAAGTATGCAGATAACGACTTCGAATCTCACCGTAATCCATATTTGCACTGTCTTGCTCTAATTTGTGTTCACTGTTCTTCAATTTGATAAGAGTTTAAGAGACATTTTCTGCATTGTGCATATGTGAATAAACAAAAAAAATTGTGGCTGAGGGGTATCGATCTTCCGCTAAAAGCCCTGAAGCGTAGGTAGGTAGGTACTTTATTTAAGTCTCAAAACGGGTTATTGGCGACGGTTTGGGAAACATCCCTGAAGATGATCCGAAGACATTCTATCGCAATTTTGATCCTATGTAGAGGGAATGGCTCCCCTGCTTTGGTAACCCGACTACTGAACGCGAAACTGAGAACTTTAAGGTAGAACCGTTAAACGAGGACCGATGCCATGTTCCCTCGGTTCCTAAGCTGGCTGATCAAAGTGGTCATCTACCAACTTACTGACCGCAGTCAGTGATGCTTGACTTGTTCTACTGGGAACCGTGTCTTTTCGTCCACTGCGGGACCCTGAAATGCTGCAAACTGCCCCAGGTACCTAGTATCGGGATCAGAAGCTATTTTTTATACATTTAGTATATGTTTGAGAACTTTTCAACTCAATTGATAGTTTGGTTTAACTTTGACCTCCGATGAAGTTGACCTTATTTCAATTTAGAACTCGTAAGTTCTTAATTTTGTAGGCTTCAGATGCTTCAATGATTTTGAGGCATGAACCTGTGGGCTTTTTCTATCTCATCTATCCGGCTGGACAAGAGAGGAAAATCCAGATCCGTAACAGAGAAGCCTGCAGGTTCATGCTCTCAAGTCATTGACAAGCAAGCGATTTAGAGTTTAATTGAGGTAGAACTAACCTATATTTTTGGTTCTATTTGCTGTATTTATGTGTGAGAGCTTGTATTTTACTTGTTTTTAATGTTTCGGTAAATTCAAAACATGAAACTTACGAAGGCTTCCTTATGTGACACAATATGTCATTGTTACGTAATATCTAGCAGAAGTAAATTTCGTGTAGCATAATCAATTTATAAAATGTTTTGGGAAATACAGTAAGCAAAAAATGGAGCCGAACCTTTTCTCCTTATCAATTGAATTTGTTCCTTATAATTAGTTAATTATCTTACGAACGGTCCAGCAGTGGACTGATCGTTAAGACACGGTTCCCAGCAGATCACCGAAGTCAAACATCACTGGCTGCGGTCAGTGTGTGGGTGGGTGACCACTTGGATCAGTCTGCGTAGGGACCGAGGGTGTGCGGTATTGGTCCTCGTTAAACTGTTCTACCTTAAAGTGCTCGATTTCACGTGCAGGTCGTCGGGCTACCGACGTGGGGGTGTCTTCCCTTCTGAAGAGGATAAAAATTGTGATGGCATGTCTTCGGATCATCCTCAGGGATGTTTCCCAGACCGTCGCCAATAGCCCATCATGCAGTTCTAGTGCGACGTAAATGAACTACAACAACAACAATCTTACGGACGACAGCGAGTATTAACTTCTTGGTGTACAGCGTTGTCATTAATTATATTATAACGCTCATCATTTGATGAAGATTTTTCAGTTGTAATTTATACTTTTGCTCGAAAGTAGCATTAAGTTTCCAGTTGAAAGATCAAGTTTGGATGAGATCCTCCTACTTTACTGCAATTTCGATCGGTGGAGTTTATATCTAAAAATGTTTTCAATCTTGTAAGTATGTTCAGAAACTTATAAGAACTAGGTATCGTATGTTGTTAATTCTACTGTAACTTAGTAAAGAAATATTTACAATTAATATAGTTTCATATTATATGAAATTGTTTTTAAATAAGTTTGACTTAAAAGTTTTCTATACATTACACTACCAAATTAATATGCTTTTAAATAAAATGAATCTTGATAATTGGTTTACTGAAATATGATTACTATTCTGTACATAAAATAAATTAGTAAGAAGATAAAATATTAGTAAGAACTTTTATGCTTTGTTATTTATGGTTAAATTATTGACATACACATATGATTCAGTTACAGTAATATTATATTCATTATTTCTGTAACCGGATAGCTATGCATTTTTGGAAAGAAGAACTTAGTGGAAGAGCATGCTAAATCACATTTTAATATAAAATTGTAATTTTAATATGTATTTAATCAGTAAGAAATTATTAATAGAACATCAGTTTTCCTTGAAACCTACTTAAAAACTTAATGTTCTTTTCAAATGTGGGGCATAATGCTTTGAGATTTTCGAAATTTGAATATTAAATATAATTTACGCTGTTCTTCCACTTTGTCGAGAATACTAAATAATTATTTTTATCTTTTAAAAATATACTCTATTGCTAACCAATCATTCAAGTCTAGAATGTCTCACCCCAATGCTGCTATTTTCAAAATGGATGGAAAAAGGAACTTAAACGTCTCTAGCACTCAAATATAAACATATGATACTGTTATTCCACTAAGATTTTCGAATAAAACACTTGGTGGAAGAACACGCAAAATTATTTTTAATTTTAGAGATAATAATTTTTAAATAACTACAATCACCAGAAAATATTTTATAAAATGTTTTTTATTAAAAAATACATTTCTACAAGNCTTGGTAGAAGAACACGCAAAATTATTTTTAATTTTAGAGATAATAATTTTTAAATAACTACAATCACCAGAAAATATTTTATAAAATGTTTTTTATTAAAAAATACATTTTTAAAAAATTGGTTTTTTTCTTAATTCAGTGTTTTTAATTATGTGTACTTGAATATTTTGAAATATCATTTAAATTGTTCATCTATTGAGTTAGTTTTCTGAAGCGTTGAGTGAAAGAACATGATAAATTACATTTTAATTTAAATTCCAAATAATCAACTTTAGCATGTATAGAATTTCCAGGATATATAATTTATATAACACCTTTCTTCATTGAAAATCTCGTTTGAATCCTAAGATAAATTAATCTTAAACTTTTAATGTTTTTAACTTTGTAAATTCAAATCTTTTAGTATGACATCTACCATGTTCTTTTCTTAAAATCTTAACAAGAATGTTTTAAATGATAATATGCGAAAAGAAAGAGAAATTTTGAGCATAAAATGCAGTTTTGATTAGGTGTTAAGATAGAACGTAATGGAAAAATTGTTTCCTAAACTGGCAGTTTTGACATATTTTATGAAGTTAATGTTATTAAAGTTACTGAAATGTCAACTTTTTAAGTTTATAAAATTCTGAAAATGTACTTTTTAATGATTTCCCAAAAAGTTAATCTTAAAAAATAAATTTCACAATTTGTCTTCTGAAGAAAATAAACAACAAAAAACCCTGCTTTGATGAAAAATGTTGCCTAATTTCGCCATTCTTAATTGCTGTAAAAGTCATTGTAATGGAAATGTTTTTTAATTTATTGTTCAGAAAAATGTAAAATTGCTCTCTATACTATTGACAAGTACCCTTAAATATTTTTCGTTAAGGAACTTTGACAGCCTTTCGTATTTTATAAACTGATTTAATTTTGTAAAAAATAATGCAGTCATAGAAAGGTTTAAATAAAATTTTTAAAATGCTTGAAAATTTAAAAATATATACAAGTAACTTTTATAATTAATAGGGTTCTTCGTACAAATGAGTGAATGTATGAGGTTTTTCTTGTAAATAAATGAATGCATAAAGTTCTTACTACTGAATGAAGGCATTTTTTTACATACAAATCTTGAGTTCTTTTTACAAATGAATGAATGAGGTCCTCCTTGCAAATGAATGTATGTGGTCCCCCTTGCGAATCAATGTATGAGGTCCTCCTTACAAATGAATGAAAACAATTCTTACAAATCATTATGTGATATATGATCCCAGGATGTTCATCTCAACTTTGACCCCAAGAGTTTCTTAGCTATTGTTCTTTTCTATTTTCCCTTTTTTCTTCTAGACTCAGTTTATTACACCATGTAAGCTGATGTTATAAATGGCTGACAAAATGTTGATGAAATTAAATTTTAGAATCAACCAACTATACTTATGGTAGTATTTCAAATTGCATCTTGGTTTGTATATGGATTAGATACAAAAATTGCCCTAAAATCTTGAACCAGACGCAAGTACGGCAACAACTTTAAACGATTATAAAAAAATTGACTAGTACCTATCCTGTAAATACTCCCTAGTAGTTAATATCTAATAATCATTGAATTTTGTATAAAAACATGCTTAATTATCTTTTTAATTTCGCGTAACCCCATTTGTCGAACTTTCCTTGGTGCTAATCTTATAACACTCAAACTCTGTCGCACTTAGGTAAATAGGTTACTGCTTCCAACCATTTTAGTTTGATTGTTGTGCCATATTGCTAATTTTAATGTTTACTTATTGAGCTTCTTACTCTATTTCATAGGTCTGATCTGATACTGCCTATTTGTTGCAAATTCAATAACTTTGCTCCTCTTGCGTTTATGCTGGCTTTCTTCCTAGCTCTATCTGTCGGTCAAGTCAGATCCTGTGGAGAAGAACGCTTTAGAATCATCCTCTTGATTCAATCACTTGTACCACTACTTAGTCTAATCAACGCAGCCATGGCTGATCAGAGTCTTGTATCAAAGGCTTACATCATTTTCTTCATCATTAGTCAGGCACCTTCTGCTTATAAGAACTGGGCATTTGCGAACAGATTTCTCTTCCACTTTGTGCACCTTTCCTGTTTTTTTCTACTGCAAGATCATCTGGTGGACAGCAAGTGGTTTTCAGATCAAGACTCGTTGATGATCAAAAGTGTTTTTAACCGGACACTTTCTAGTTAAACAGGAAGCTTTTCTTGTTAAACTGTGAAATTTAGTGAAATTCATAATATATGTAAATCGTGTTATTAACCTTTTTTAATAGATTTAATTGAATTTTTATCATTATATTAAGAAATGTTACTTCCTTAAATTGAGTATTGCAAAGATTTTTGGCTATAAAGTGGTTTTATTAAAAGCTGTTCTTGGGATGATTCGTACCATTTCTTATGTATGTGGTTTAAAGCAAACTAGAGTGCTGTACCTCCTGCGCGCTGCTGCTTATTAACCTACAAATTGCGTTGCGCTTTTATCAGGACTACGAATAGTCAAAAATATTGGTTTGAAAAGAAATTTCTGAAAGATCCATAATAGATTGATTATTGACGAAAAGTTTTTTGTTTAATAGGATATGTAATTATGAAAATTAATGCAAGACAGCCCACCGTTAGTAAATGTCTACACGAGGTTAAAAAAAAGCTAAGTATGTGATAAATAAATTAGTAAAAAAAACATTAATTTTTGATAAGTGTTCTTTCTAAAATTTACGATGATTCTAGATGCATATAATTATGCATTTGCTATCTTTATCGAAACAGAATTATATATGATAGTAATTTCATATGATCATAACTTCATACCTCATTCGATCTTCATATTCACATATGCATGAATATAAAATATTATATATTTAGAAATATATTGAAAAAGAAATTTAGTAAATTGGACAAATTCTTTTAGCCAAATTTGTCACACTATGAATAAGATGCTACAAGATTTCGATTCTAAACGTTTTACTTCCCTAAGAAATGAGATTTGGCACCACAATCAAGGTAACTGCGATATACCAGGAACCGAAAAAGGGATCATATTTGCCCTTTAATTACGTGTCGTGAAAAATGAAGAGGCTGCAAAATGTCTTTAGTAATTTGTTTCTGTCTAATAGTTTGTGTAATGAAAAACTGCATAATTTAGGCGTGATATCCATCAGAAATAACAAATTAAAATGCTAAAAGAATAAAATGAGTTTCACACTAAAAGTTTTCCGTCAAATCTCGTTTTTCTTCACGTTTTTTTATTTCGTAATTTATAATTTTCTCAAAAACTTCAATGGGATACTTACAAGTAACCTAGTGTCGTTTTCTCTATCTTGATTAGTTGTTGAAACCTGACATTTGTTTACGTTAGCAACTGTTCTTTCCATTCAATTTCGAACAAGCAAGGTTGCCAAATATCTATTTTTTAAGTAACCCCATATTCCATATTCTTTTACAAAGATTCTTTCTCAAAAATTTCAATTCGGTTAATATATATTTCTTAACACAAGGACAGACATGAAGCTATGCAGAACATAAACAGATTAATTTTGCATCGAAAATGTCGGGTATACAAAGCAAAAATATATCATGGTTACAATAAAATACATAAACAAATAATAAATCTAAGTTAGGTAAAAGACATAGACGAAAAAGAGTTATATTTCAATAAAGTCAATGTGCGATATGGCGCTGAATTTAATTAACTTCACGTTAATTAACATTCTAACTTGTGTGGAGAAACTAAGCGCAGCTCTAACGCGCCATTTCGCTTAAAACCTATCAGTTGCCGCTGACGTCATAGGTCACATGTGTGGGTATCTGTTGTCGTAGATAAGTACCCAATTGTGAGGTATAGTTCGTTCACCAGAAGTTGAGACTTGGCTCCACCTCCTGGGACGCAGAGTTCATTTCAGCGCGGGAGTTAGAAGAGAAACATCTCCGTTGTTGAAATTGAGACAACCCTTAATTTGCGCCAAACACAAAAAGTGAATTATTTTTCAGTCATTACTTTGCTTTATCATCTGCTATTATACCTTTTGTCACACTTGCTAATTAAATGTAGTTTAAATTTAAAAACTGTTGTTCTCCCAGCGAAATGGCTCATAAAGGACAAACTATTCACTCAAAAGAAAGAAATATCATAAGAAATGGTGCAAAATATAATCAAATTTATGAAATATTTATTGTTAAAAAAATGCACATAAAGTTTGCCAAATAAATATTTTTGCCAAACGATCGCCAAATAGCAACATTGTTCAAGTTTGCTCACAACCTTCTCCCAAAAATAGCGAAATAGTATCGTCGCATACCACGTGATGAAGGCGGAGCCAAGTGCCAACTCCTGGTGAACGAGCTATAGTATGCAGATATCAAAAACCACCGCATCAAGCATCGGGGTATCAGAGATTGAGATGCATCGTCTTTACGTTAAACAACTATGTAATAGCGGGTTCGATTCCGGCCGAAACCCATATTACAACGGTTTTGTTCTTTATTAATTTCGTTCATAAATTAAAAAATTTCTTTGTATGCACATCTAATAATTATAAAATTTAAGAACAAGCAGCATAATTGTTTGAAGGATATTACGGATTTGGTTAAAATGGTGTCATTTGCAAAAAAACGAACATGATGCATCAGACAAACGGTTTCAGACGGGTATTGCGAGAAAATATCAGAAGTTATGGTGGAAATTAAACTCACTACCTTCAGACCTATTAGCTGTTTTAGCAAGGTCACGAAGGTATGTGTATAACAAATAATTAGCCATTTGTAGGCCATTTGCTTTCTAGTACCTGTTTCCTAATGACTTTGGGGCATAAATCTGTGACCACTTTTATCATTAGCCCTGTAATAGTACGGCATAACCACTGAATGTCAAGGGGCCTCCTTGGCCAAGCGGTATCAACCGCCAAACGCTCTGCAGTAAAGGGGTAGTGTGTTCGAATCCCGTAAAACCCTGGACGGATCTTCGTCCTGCCATTTTCTAAATTGTCCTATCTGTCTTTCTACTTGACAAAGGCTTATGAACCGCATTTATAAAATGGATCACAAAAGCCTGCACGTCTGCGTTCTAATAAGTAAAGAAATAAAGGGTTCTTTGGTTCCTCTATTTGCGTAACAATTGAGCTACCCAATGAACTATTGGCGACGATCTAGGAAGTATCCTTGAAGATGATCCAAACACAACATACATACTTCACATCCCTTTTTTTTTTACAAAGAGGACACATTCACACACCATCCATCCGTCTGCAGATCGTGATTTTGGTGTGAACCAAAGCATGATCAATCTCCTATCCAGTATATCCAAAGGTATTGATTTGTTATGGGAACTTGGAGGACCTTGCGACCCCACAGATTTATCGCGCACAAGTCGCCATATTGTCTTCGGTCGGTGGGGATTGAACTCACGATCTCTCGGACATTTGACCCACTCCCAACCTGCCAGGCTATATCCTCCCAAGAAAAAAAATTAGGGGCTTCACTGGCAGAGCATTATCACCCACCAAACACTGTGCGAAGCTTAGAAGTAGTGGGTTTGAATCCCGCGGTCATCCTGGATGCTGTCCTTCTGTGTATTGTGTTATCCGTCCTACTTGATCAGGTTTATTAGCCTTATATGAAAAAACAAGCCAATGCATGTTGTTGCTGTTGCTGTTGTTGTTAATTTACGTCGCACTAGAGCTGCACAATGGGCTATTGGCGACGGTCTGGGAAACATCCCGGAGGATGATACGAAGACATGCCATCGCAATTTTGATCCTCCGCAGAGGGTATGGCACCCCCGCTTCGGTAGTCCGACGACCTGCGCGCGAAGTCGAGCACTTTACGGTAGCACAGTTTAACGAGGACCAATACCGCATACCCTCGGTCCCTACGCAGACTGATCCAAGTGGTCACCCACCCGCACACTGACCGTAGCCAGTGATGCTTGACTTCGGTGATCTGCTGGGAACCGTGTCTTAATGATCAGTCTACTGCGAGACCCAATGCATGTTGTACCAATAAATAAAAAATAAATTCGTCTCAATATTGATGTGGCGCATTTTTGATGCGAACTGACAGAAACGGTCTGTTTTTGCCTGAAGTTTTTGTTTTTAAATTTGAGATCTACAAAGACTAAAATTGCAGTATCTAATGTAATAAAATGTAAGTAATTTTCCGTCTCTGATATAAATAAATCAATTCTTAAAAAAATCCTTTTAATACTTTCCTTACCACCTTTTTAACAAAAAATATTCTTTTTTGAAATATAATTGAAAAAGTTTTTTAATAAAAGTATTATGCTCTTGGTTAGTTAAAGTTTTTTATGTACTCAAGTGTTTACTAAGTAATTAACTGAAAGATTTTGCTAGCGGAAATATATTTTATATTGAATAAATAAATCAATAAGCAAATATATCGATCTATGAAAAATGTGAAGCTTTTTCTTTATGCATATAATATTTCCCAAAATTTGCTGTTTTATTCTGTTCGAATCAGAAAGATAAGGTTTTGTTATGGAAATTTCATGAAAAATTGTAATTGAATATTTTAAAAGAAGAACATATTATGAGACATATTAGTAAATTTAAAAAACCCTGTCAGAAATTATATTGATCTATCATGTGATTATTCACAAAATGATCGAGAAAAACAAATTAAGCCCGTACACTTAATTAAAACAAAATGATAAATATTTCAAAATTACACTTAATATGATGTTTGTTCATTCAGCAATATTAATTCACTTGGCTTCATTTAATTTTATAAGAACTGTTGAAAAGCTGACCCAATGTTAAGGTTTGTGAATACCAGTGTTCAACTCCGTAGCCTTCTAATTTTGAACCCAATCCAGAGGACAAGGAAAGTCCTGGATCAAGTATTGCTAAAAATTTGCCTTTGTGAAGGATATTTTGATTGAACTAACCCGCATCTGCGTTACATGGAGAGGAAACCTCGAAAACCTCCCACGGTTAGCCTGACAGCAAGAAAACTCTAACCTATGATACGTCTACCACGGAGGACATTTTTACGTCAGCACTGAGATCTGTGCGAGCCGGGGGCTTAATTTGTATCAACCAGTCATTGCTGAGATTCGAACCCGGTTTACCTCATTGGAAGGTGAGTGCTCTATTCCCTGAGCCACCGCGACTCTAATTCACTTAATTGGCACATTTGAAGCTTATTCAGTTCTTTAGTTTTCTCACAGTCCTATTGTTGTCGATTTTCCTAAAGCAAACTTTAACGTAAATCGCCTTAAAGCGGTGCTCAGTGATCGCAATCTTCATAAATCGCTTTATACAGGCTGTTCCATAATGACAGCTTTTATAAATCACTTTATATAAAGTGTTCCATCATGTCAGATCTTGAAATATATGTTTAGAAACCATGATAAATGAAGTAAAAAAAAACCCTTTAGGGTTACATCTTAATATTTAAGCAATTGCTGTAAAAATCATATAAATCATTATTGAAGAAGGCGGGATTATGAACCTTCAAAGCCAGTTTGGTTGCCGCATGAAACTTGAAGTTGTTCCTAACAGTCAATTTTCCATTCCTCTTAGTGTTTCCTGCGGAAACTAATTTCAATATTTTTATTTCCGCCTTCCACAATCGAGATTTGTCAGATTTTATTTTATATTTATTATTTTTTACCAGCTTACGCATTGATTTCGAAACTTTATGTGTATACTTTTCTTTTAGCAAAGATTATAAATCATATAAAAGGTGGTGCATTGCGGAATTCATTAGGACCAATTTCTTTCAGTAATTATTATTACACTTGGTCTGCTACTTATTATAGTTACTTAAACGCAAAAGGGGTCACAGTACCTAAAAAATGACCAAAACATCGAAAAAATTTTTATTGCTTTTAATAAAACTTCAAATTATTTCAAGTGCACTGGCAAAAAATCATCTCTATCAACATTTTTAAAAAAGTTATGAATGATTTTAGATTTCCCTAATGCAGAAACTTGCTCAGCAGACAAACTTTAAAGTGCTTTTTCTCATAGGTGATTATTTTGAGTTTTAATCTTAATTCCCTAAGGAATTTTTTAAGATAAAGTAAACTTTTTTTTATCTTAAACATAATACACTTAGTTAAACTGTGCATGGAATAAGCATTTTATGAGATATTACAATTTTTACAGCATGTTATACATATCTAACAGGAATTTTTAACCTTTTTCTGCTACGTTTTTACAAAATAATCTATAAAAATTATTTTAATTGTTATTTCAAAAAATGAATGCGCAAAATTGTTAAGATGAATATTGTAATCACTAAGAAAAAAAGCATTTTTTTAAAATAAGTTAAAATAAAAAAGATCTGGGGATTTAAAAATTTGAATTTGAATTTTTTTTTAAATTTTAAAAAAATTAATCAGTTTAATTAGTTTTTGAAGATGAATTACTGATTATAAGTTAAATGATCATGTAAAGCACCCACAAAATGAATGATTATACCTTTATTTAAAGAAATTTCTGCAAAGGTACTGTGACCCCTTAACGCAAAATGCTAAAACAACTGACAATTTTATGACGTTTTATTTTCATCAGCTGTATTTCAAATTTTCAAGAATTTTTTTTTTCCAGGTGGAATCAAATTTGGTACTCTTTGCTGCTGCTGCTCAAGGCTGCTCCGGCAGGATTTTTTGTTGCTTTAACGGCTACTGAAGCTATCAGAGAGTTGAAACTTTACATAGGAGACACTATTGAAATCAATACCATGATCACGGCTACTTTATTCATTACATACATAATATACATTATGACGAGTGCCTTCAGCTTGGTGTTGAGGATTTACTTCATTTTGTTTACAACCGCTATATCTATCTCTATTTATAAAAACTGGAATTTTAGAACAAGGTTTTTCTTCCATTGGATGCACTTGTTTAGCTTTTGGGCAATAAGAAACATTCTACTGCATTATCTGTTGATTCCAAAATCAGATTTGCAGTTAATATTTATTCTATCTCCATGGATATTTACATCCTTCACCGCAGATGTCTAAATTGGAATACAATGAATTGATCTGATCGATATCTCAGTGGATCAACATGTAGGGCTTTTTCATCTTAAAATTGGACTCTCTGTGTCATCTAATTACCGTAAAATCCTAGTATACGATGCATGCTTAATTTGATTTTGAAAAATGTCGCCAACAAATGGAATGATACATTGACCATTGTCGCGAAAATGTTGGTATACCGGGATGTAGCACAACCTTAAGACGACATCGGTGTAGGGTATACGTTGAAAATGTACACCGGATAGTGGTACTAAACGAGAAAAAAACTATATCTAACCAACTATGTCGAACCAAATCTACAACTACTGATTCCAAACATTATGGCCTTTTTAAATGTCACCAAATCCACCGCGTAACGTATACTAGGATTAAGCTAAATTACCTCTCTGATACTTTAGGAGCAGATGACAAGACATTTAAGTTTTACAAAAATCTAAAAATTTTATTTCATGAATGATTTTTAGTCAAATTTTTATCATATGATGTTGGATTATCAACTGTGCTTTTAAGTAAACTATATAAACTATATATATATACTAAATGTTATTGCATTATGCATGAAAACCATTTTGTTGTGTGCTTTGCATGTGTATTTCTGTTAATAAATTTAAACAGTACACTTTTTACCTAACTTATTTTCAGAATGTCATTGCTTATTGTACGATGTAATTTTAGTTGTAACACGCTTCACTTAAAGTACGGAACCATGATTTTTGAAATAAATATTTTATAATATAGGATATTGTTTTGAAGATTTTTTCTTACTTATATCATATGGTAAGTGCCACATCGCAGTGGCCAGTTTGAAAAAATCAGACGATCTGTTAATATTATCTATGTTATTTATGTTGTTAATTTGTCGTTCGATTTGATAGCATCGCAGTAGGCGAATTAAGAGTGATTTTACACCAAAGAAATTAAAAATAAAGCCGACATCTTATAATTCCAATAACTTATAAATCCTCAATATTTCTTTAACAAGCTGAGTGAGTCAAAAATGAAGAAAATAAAAGTTAGGTTGAGGTGTTGTACGAGAATCTTAGCATCTATCTAGTCATTTATCAATCCGAATGGGTCTCGCAGTGGATTGATCGTTCTTACACGGTTCACAGTAAAACACCGAAGTTAAGCATCACTGGTAGCGGTCAGTGTGCGGCTGGGTGACCACTTTCATCAACCTGCAAAGCGACTGCGGGTGTGCAGTATCGGTCCTTGTTAAACTGTTATATCGTGAAATGCTCAATTCACGCTCAGAACGTTTGGTTGTTGGAGCGGGAGAGCAGAGGATCAAAATTCTGATGGCATGTTTTCGGATCATCCTCATGGATGTTTCTCAAACTCTTGCCAATAGCCTACTGTGCAGCTCTTGTACGACGTAAACAAGCTGCAAGAACAACCATCCAAGTGGCTGATCACCACTTAGCTATAGAGACCTTGCAAGTAGTCTCGCCATTCCGTTGTAGCATTTCCGAAGTTGCGGGTTCGAATTCTACCGTAATCCTGAACGTATCTTCGAGATCGTCATGTACTATCAGTTCTTCAAGTCACGAAGGGTTTATAAGCTTCACGCTATAATGAACATACAAGCCTGAAAATGTATGTGCAAAAGCTAAATAAATAAATCTGTATGGACCTTCCCTGGTTGAGCAGTATCACCATCTCACCAAACACTCCGTTGCGTAAAGGTAGCGGGCTCGAATTTCGCTTTAACCCTGAATGCATCGTTGTGATGTGCTGTCTGTTCTTTATCTTAACAAGTGCTTATAAATCGAACTTGTCCAAAATTTATATGACAAAAGAATGTCCCGCAGTAGACTAATCGTTAAGGTTTCCAACAGATCACCGAAGTCAAGCATCACTGGCTGCGGTCAGTGTGCGGGTGGGTGACTACTTGGGTCAGTCTGCGTAGGGACCGAGGGTGTGCGGTATTGGTCCTAGTTAAATTGTTCTACCGTAAAGTGCTCGACTTCGCGTGCAGGTCGTCGGGCTACCGAAGCGGGGGTGCCACCCCCTCTGCAGAGGATCAAAATTGTGATGGCATGTCTTCGGATCATCCTTAGGGATGCTTCCCAGACCGTCGCCAATAGCCCATTGTGCATCTCTAGTGTGACGTAAATGAACTACAACAACAACAATGACAAAAGAATAAATGAAAATAAATTAAGGGACCTCCATGACAGAGCGATATCACCCACCAAACGCTGCCTACGCACAGCGTGAAGGTTGCGGGTTCGAAACTCGCTGCTAACCTAGATGTATCTTCGTGCTGTCTTTCTCTGTATTGTTCTATAAGCCTTAATTGAGCGCATAAGCTTGCAAATGTATTAGTACAACATACAATTGCAGACTTGTGTGCTCAATTAAGGCTTATAAATCGTTGTCAAGTTGAAGGACAGATAGCACAATACAGAGAAGAACATCACAAAGAATGCATCCAGGGTTACGGCGGGATTCGAACCCGCAACCTCTACGCTTAACAGAGCGTTTGGCGAGCGATATCTCTGGGCCAGGGAGGCCCCTTGCAAATGTATGTTGTACCAATAAACACTAAAATAAATCAATCAGGGGTGCAGTTTAGCAGAAATCTGTAGTAAGCGACGCATTTTTAAATCTAATTTAACTTTCTAAAACGTTTACTTCGTACAGTTTCTTTTAATAAACGTGTTAAAACTTCTTCGCCTTTTGCATTTTAAATCCGAGAAGTTTATCAAGCAAACATGTAAGTATTTTCTTTAAGTATATAAAATTTTAACTTAAAATTGACATATAATTTGAATAAGCGAAACTTTTTTCTCATAAACAACGTGTTATTTATACTAAAAATAATTAAAGTAAATTTTAACTAATTGGAAATAAAAAAGTTATCGTAATATTTTCAATAGTATTTTCGTGAATATTTTCATGTATGTTCTCACAAATGAGCGTACTTTATACTATTATATTTTTTTCGTAGGAAAGTTTTCATATTGCAGTTTAGAATTAATTGCAGCAAAAAATTTTAGAAATTACCTAAAAAGTAGGAAAACTTAAAACAACAATATTCGAATAAATGTTTTTAATACATATTAATGTTTTAATTTTAAATTATTTGCAAGATTTACAAATTTTCAAAATCCTTTTATGAAGTGTCTCACTTCAAAATTTTTTTAAAAATGATTAAATATTTTCAAGAATCCCAGCATTTGTAGTTTACATTGTAACATTAAAATTGGCACTTGTAATTTTCTGAAATAAAAATGGTATTGCGCAAGGTGTTTTTCTTCAAAAAGAAATGTTGTTTTCCTTACTTTTATTGATAACGTAGTTAATAGAAATGTATGTAATGCTTTTTTGTCTTTTAAAATTATTTCATAATTTTGAACATGATATTAAATTGCTCATGAATAAATTTTATCAATGTAAAGTGCTGAATAGTTTACTTATTGACCTCCTCTGTAAAAAAAATGGCTAACTTCGTTGATTTTGATAAGCAGAATAATAATTTAAAATTTCTAACAGCATATGTAACATTGATGTATTTTTATTACTTAAAATTTTCACAGCTTGTAGGTACAGTGCCCAAAATATAAAACTAAACTCCTCAATTACTTCTTATGTAATGATTGTATTTTCATATATTGGATGATATTCTATTGTTTGGAAGAACTAGATGCTGAAACATTTGTTCAGACTGTATTTAAAGTTATAAAATCTGGTACAACAACGTATTTTCTCTGAATAAACATCGCTTTTTTTCGGACGTATTTTGATTTTTGTCTCAATAAATAAGGATTACTGAAAACTGGAAACTACGCACCTTATACTTTATTCAGGAGATCAATCGAAAGCTTGGACTCTTAAATTTTAATTTTACTTTCTTCAGAATTTCGTTATTTCTGAGAAAGTTTTTTAAAATAATTGAAAATTTTTTAAACGAGATAATTAAATTCGTTTATACAAAGATACTAACTTTTTTGATTATTTAAATAAAGGTCAAATATTTTTAACTTATAAGATGGATATATATCGTAATATCATTTTTAACTATGTAAATATAAATGAATAATGTCATTATTTGGGCGAATTTGGTCAAGTAGTTTTTGAGAAACAAAAAATTTATAATAAGCCTATTCAGAGTGAAAATGTGAAATTATCATTTAAGGGGTAAATCTTTATCATTACTGTATTTTTCAGATAGTGGGTATTTTACCATATTTAAAGGATCGTGGATCCAATTCCCTGAAACAAAGGTGCGAAATAGAACAAAAATTTATTAAAATTGCAAACCTTTTTCTATTTCTTATATACATCATCTGTATACTTAAAAACTTAATAATTTGTATTATATCGATTTATCATGTATATACATTAAATTTTGTCAGCTTGCTTTTTTTTCGAATATTTCTTAGCACATTGCTTGAATAATAAACGAATAAAGCCTTAAAAGGATATTTATCGTTCAAAATTCTACATAAATAATTTGCCTTTGTGGAGGACATTTCGATGGAGCAAACCCGCATGGAGGGAAAAATCCTCCCACAATCAATCAGTCTGCAAGGAAACTCTAACCCATAATCCGTCTACCACTAAGGATATTTAAAGTCAGCGCTGTGATCGATGTGAGCCGGGCCTGTAATTCGTATCGACTAGCCATCTTATTGGAAGGCGAGCTCTCTGTCTCCTGAGCCACCACGGTCCAATATGCAGAAATTAAAATCATTGAGCTGGCTAGTTTAATATTGCTTTCAGAAAACTCCATAAAGTTTATGTATGAAACGTCAGCATTCTGGCGATTACCCTAGACAATTTAAAAAAAATATCTGGTATTCTTCTATCTAATATGAAATCTCAGAATTTTATATTTCACCTAAGCATTATTTTTAATTCCTCTAGGTTATTTGTAAAATGACAAATATCCTTCTAGGGGCCCTGGTGTCTCAGAGGATAGAGCATTCGCCTTCCAATGAGGTGAACCGAGTTCGAATTCCGGCAATGGCAGGTTGATTCCGAACCTGTCTCACACAGACCACAATGCTGACGTAAAATATCCTCAGTAGTAGACGGATTATGAGTTAGTCCTCTTGCCGTTAGACTAATCGTGGATGGTTTTCGTGGTTTTCCTCCCCACAATGCAAATTCAGATTATTCCATCAAAAAGTCCTCCACGAAAGCAAATTTTCTCCCAATACTTGATCCAGGAGTTCCCTTGTCTTCTGAATTGGGTTCAAAATTGCAAGGATACGGAGTTGAATATTGGTAGTCATAAACTGAAAATTCGATCGACTGTTCATGGAGGGTTAAAAAATATGAAAAAATTCGTGATGAGATGTTTTAAAATTGTTTATTTTATAAAGAGAAAAAAATATTTTGAAAAATGAATGAGGACTGTCACTAAAGAAGTCTATTATATAATGCTTAAGAGCCAAACGCATGAAACATTGGCATTCAAGGCATTTTACAGAATGGTGCATTTTATACTTAGTTGGTTAGTCATTTAGCATTCCATAGAATGTCTTATGGTCTGAGGAGATATGATGTACATTTCGTAAACGTCATGTAATTCAATTAAGTTCAATTTTTATTCTATTCAATTTTTAACTGTTTTATTCACTTACGCATTATGTTTCTTACAAGTTTTTCATTTTTTTTTATAACCGTCGTTGAACAGCCGACCCAATTTTATGGGTTTACGACTACTAATTCTCAACTCCGTAGCCTTGTAATTTTGATCCCAATCCAGATAACAAGGGAACTATTGAATCAAGTATTGGGAGAAATTTTGCCTTCGTGGAGGAATTTTTATAGAACTAACCAGCATTTGCGTTACACAGAGAGGAAGACCGCGAGAACCCCCCATGGTTTGTCTGACTGTAAGGGGATCTCATCCGTGATACATCTACCACTGACGATATTTCACGTCTGTCCTGTGTTTGGTGCAAGCCTTATGCGGAATTTGTATCGACCAGCCATTGCTAGGATTCGAACCCGGTTCACCTCATTGGAAGGCAAACGCTCTATCCCCTGAGCCATCACTGCTCTGCGTTTATTAACATATTTGAAGTCATCCCCAGAAGCCATTGAGATTGATTTACAGACAGTGGAAATCCGATCATTAGATCAAATTCTTTTTCTCCGCACTGCACGGGAATGTAGAAATTTAGTTTGTGCATGTATATAGAAATATCGAATGTTTCAGTTTTCTTATTTTTGTGCTCTGCGTATTTTTCAGGAGGGATGCAATTGAACCTATTTTTAAACCATGTCAGCAGTATGCTAACTCCATACTCATAGTTGTTTGCATTGCAACCGTAGCTGTCGAAAAGTTTCGAGTTCGTCGAGCAGATCTCTTCGAGAAGAGTAAAGCAGTGAAGGCACTTGTGTGGACGGCAGCTACAATCAACATTGCCATGATCTCTTTCAGTGCCGTTTCTAGGGTATATGCTACACTCTATGCGACTACACTAGTCTACACTCTTTTTATGCCTTGGAATGTTCTTTCGAGATTTCACTATACTTTGATCCATTCCCTGGTTTCTTGGATACTGATTGATTTTCTGATACATTTCCAGTTCGTTCCAGAATCTGACTTTGCGTTGCTCTTGACAAAGAATTCCTGGTTATTGATGGCAGCACCGTTGGAATACGGAATACTGTAAAAAAGATGAAGGTTTAATTATATATTTATTTCCAGATGAATTGTAATTTGCTGTGTTTTGGTTTAGAATTGTTTTAATAATATTTTAGTTCTTGCTCTGTAACTTTAGTGGTCTTAATCAATAAATTTTGATTCCTATCTCATCATGCCTTGCAATAATTGCAGAATAACGTTTTACCAATTGTCTAAGAGTATACTATTTTACCACACAGTGGATATGGATTAGAGATAAAGGTAAAAAAATATCTAAATATTTATATTCGTTCTTTGTAATTATTGAATAAGTGTTATCAAGTTAATTTAGCATAGAACAATTTTGAATGAATCGGTTGAATCGTTGAGGTTTGTTAAAAATTTTCGTCGGTGGCTTACAGAGAGGTGTGGATGCATATGAACAGTAAAATAATAATTTAATCTTTATGAAACAAGAAAAAATATTAAATAAAAATATCTCTATTACATTAAAAACATATAAAAGTTGTGACCGTTTTATTATGATCACTGATTACCAATTGGTCAAATGCTTTTTCTTTCTGGATTGACTCCATTAAACGTCACAACATTTTAAATCATGGGTTGAAAAAACTGCCTCAATTGAGGTTTGTCGTCGGATTGGTTTTCAAATCCTGCCTATGAACGAGTTTCAAGCCGTCACAAAATACTTTTCCTTCAGCATTCATATTTATTTTGAAGACACATTTTGACAATGGAAAAAATAATCAATAATAAAAAATCAATATTTTTTTGCCACAATTTTAATTCCCACATTTAAGTTGTGCGAATTTATTTTGAAAAGCTTTATCTTAATTAAACTATCGTTAATTTTCTCAATTGTAAAAAAAATATTTTAATGGCCTTAAGTTTCACTAGTTAATTTTTTTTTAAAATTCATTTATCATAAAACATTTAAGTCAAGTATTTATCTACTGAAAAATTTAATTTTCTTGTAAAAATATTAGTAAAGTAATAACTAGGGTGGTAAAACTACCAAGAAAGGTGATTTGACGATATGTGACAAATGGAGAGGATTCACTTTGTTAAATGTATATAGCAAACTATTCTTTAGAATAATGCAGTACAGAATAAAAATTACAATTGGCCAGAGCTAGCAGGTTTCAGATCCTTTGTCCACCATATTGAAACATTAAGGATTATAGTTAGGGCTGCAGGTTTGTCGCGGCGCGAATTTCCGCGAAATTGTCATCTTTTTTCCTAAAATCCGCGAATTTCTCAATAAGTCTTGACTTGCGCGAAAATTGCTTAAAATTTGATTTTTTTTTCATTTTTTACTTATTATTTTTATTAAACATAATTTTTTATTTTCCTGAACCTTAAATTGAACATGTAAAATTGATTAGATATTTAGGGGAGTGAATCAATAGCAAAATGACATGAAAATAGTTCAGAGATAAGAGATAATCACAATCTTGTCAACTAAGGTGGTCTTTCTACACTTAGGGAGGGTAATTACCTTCCTGAAGTCAGTAAGAGTACAAAAGAAATTGGAATCACAAAAGAAGAAAAGTTATTATAAATCAAATCTTTGACAGAAAAATTGTTATATATGCTATTGCACTGAGCAATAAAATTTCTACTGCCCTTCTACATATCCAGTTAATTTTGCCTAGGCGGCTTCTTCTGATTTCTTAAATATGGATCAGTTTCTTAGATGAAGGGGGCGACTAGTAGTTAGTAGGGACTTGTGACTAGTAGTTTGAATGTAGAATGTTTGAGTTTTCACAGCAATTACTTCTTACAAAGCAACGCTCAAGGAATTGCGCGTTGGTGAAGGAAAATTGATCGAGTTTTGGAAATTAAAGACCGAATGCTCCAAAATTGGCAAAAGTGGCGTTGATGCAGAAAGATCGTTTTCTAAGTATAAAAATGCATTAAGTGATGAAAGACGAAGCATTAATGAGAATAATCTGACAATGTACAATACTTTGTACCAAAATTCTGTTCATTTAAATAAAAATATTAATATTGCTTGAAATTCAAAGAAATACTTTTGTTGTGTATTTTTAAGCTTTTTTCTTATTATTTGCGCAATTTCTGTTTTTTGCATCATTTATGTAATAAATTTTTTTATGTTTAGAATTTGTGTAATTTTCAAAATTTCCCGCGATTTTTCCGCGAATTTGGGGTCTTTTTTCCAGCGACAAACTTGCAGCCCTAATAATAGTCGAACAATCTATTGAATGACAATTTTCAATATACTTAAATTTTATATATTTTAATAAGGTTTTCGGCGGTTTACACTTATAAACACACTGGAAGTTGTTGAAGTACTATTGAATTGCTTTGTAAATATTATCAGAAATATATATAAAAATTACAATATATGAGTTATCCATGCCGACTATCAGAGTCCTTCAAGGTGAATTCCAGTGTTAGACAGGGTACTTTCTCCAACATTTTTTTAAATGCTATTGACTGGATTATAAAGAAAGTATCAGAAAATTAAAGGGGTATAAGATGGAACTATTGCTGAGTATTTTTCTGATCATTATTTTGCAGACTTATGTTTACTGACCAACACCCTTTAAGACATGCAAACAAACACAAACATTTTAAACTGCAAAGAAAATGGGGCTCAACCGAAATAAAACTAAAATTTTAGAAATTAATCTTAAACAATTAAGTGACAGATTCTTAGAAAATAATGAGAAGGTAAGCAATTTTACGTATCTTGGAAGAATAATTAACAACAAAAGTGGAACTGATGAAGACATGCTGAATAGATTAAACACTAAAATTAACATGAAAAAATGTCAAGTATTTATTAACTGTTTAAGAATAATTTTGCGTGTCAAGAGGTTCCCTTAAATTTGTAATGCAGAAATCCTTAGAAAAACAAAACAGAAAACGATTGATCTGGAAATTAAAAAACGTAAATGGAAATGGAATGGTCGTGTTCTACGTAAAGCTGAAAAATTTAAAGTAAAACAAGTTTCTGTTTGGCAGTAGAAAAAGAGGAAGACCTAAAAATAATTGGCGCAGGACCATGGTAAACGAATTTAAAACAATGGGGAAAACATAGAAAAATATCTGGCCTCAAATAGTTGTTGCAAAGTAATGTTAGAAACCCTATGCCCCAATTCGGAATAAAAAGGAATATGTATGTGTATGTAACAACGGAATTAAAATTTATTATATTAGTTGATTGGATGCCGCGCTTCTTCCCCCCTCAGCACGCCACTGATTCTCTGGCTAATACAAGTTTTCGTGGCTTACATTTATTTTGATTTAAAAAAAAAAAGAAATAATATTTGGCGACATTAGTAAAATATTTAAGTAGAGAAATTTGTACTTATAAATGTGGGGAATTTGAAAGGCAGTTGACTTACGTGAGCGTAGTGCAAATTTCATTCATGGTTTTTATTGTAGTAAATAGATATCGTTTTTTTTTAAATGAAATATGACGGTAGTTTTTTATAAATTTCCTCCCAATTTATACATAAATTAGTAAAAAAAAATTGAATAAAGCAGTATATTTAATGAGTGCCAAGGTTTTATGAAACTTCAAATTTTAATTATTTTTAAAGTAAAGTGGTATACACTTTCTCGATATTCCTTACAATGATGTTATCCTAAGTGTAAGGCGTTTGTCAAGTATTTCTTACGCAAACACTTTTTACTAATTTAAATCGAGTGTTTTATTAATTTTGGCCCCGGGCAAAAAAATTATCCAAATACTGAAGAAGATAATTGACTTTTATAATATATTGAAGGAATTTAAATCTTTGTGAAAGAATATAGAATACTAGGAGGCTCCGCCCCCTGCTCGCTAACGCTCGCCAACCCCCGAGAATTGCTACGCAATCCTATGTGGTTCACGCTTGCTCGCCAATGAACACAATGTTCTAGCACAAAGACATAGTATATTATCATCAAAGACATAGTATTTTACCATCAAAGACATAGTATTGTACTTATGTAGAAGAATTCTATCAATGTTCTTATTGGCTTTTAAAAAAGTATATTAGCTATTTAGATTGTACATGGTGAAAAAATCAAAACATTAGCTAAATGAGAAACATATTAGCAAAATAAATTATCAAATATTGCAGTTACTCACCTAAATTCAACTAAATGTGTATAATAAATTAGTTAATGCTAGAAATTCTGAAAGTTTTAGAAAAAAATTTTATTATTTAAAAATATAAACTTTAAACCCTAACTTTTCCTTGTGAGATAATAACCCTCAAAAAGTCTTTCATTTTCAAGAACACAAAAATTTGTTTTATCGCCAAATGAAATATTTTTTGGTGATCAGCATTATTGAAATCAATTTCTATATTAATTAACATTTGTGATAAAGTACATAACATTTTAGAACAAAATAAGGATGTTTTACATACAATAAATTAAAATGCATGGCTGTTAGCATTACCCGAGAAATACCACGTGGAGGTCGCCATGCTGCATTTCTAATCGGGGAGTTTTGATTTTGGCAGTTCCCCTTGCCTACTGCCAATAGAAGTTTCAATTAAATTTTTTCCAAAAAACATTTTTTTCTGCAAAGCTCTAAGAAATTAACACTAAGCATTTAGAATTTCTTTGAAAACACAATTATAGATTTGGCATCTTGGAGCAATTACTGAAAGGCTGTCAAATGACTTAACTCTTGACAGGCCAACATAAAGTTGTCCATGACTAAAAACTTGTTTAGTCAATACTAAACTGATTTTCTCAAAAGTCTGACCTTGTGACTTATTTATAGTCATGGAGAAGGCCAGCCTAATTAATTCCTAATTGAGTTTAAATTAAATATTATCATGTTTTTAGGGCATGAATCTGAATTGAACAACCTGATAATGCTCACTCTGGTTATTGTTTCCGTTTTTAAAAGTGCTATATGTTGAGCCACCTCATGTGACATTTTTAGCAGCAATCATTGGTCAATTTTCTAACGTTGCCATTCGGGAAGTTGTAATGAGGCTTTTTTTTGGTGCCGTGTAAGAGAAATATGTTACTTAAGAGAAATATGTTAATATATACAGATGTTACTTAAGAAAATTGATGCTTGACGGGCTTGGCTTAATCGAAATGGAATAGAAAGAACAGTCGATAAAGTAAACAAATGGCGTGTTTCAACAATCAATCAGGCTAGAGTACGTAACGTAACAAACAGGTATCCCATTATAATGAAAAGAAAAATTTAAAAAAATCAAAAACAAAAATCTCTCTCTCGTATTCTTCATCACTAAAAGAGAAACAGAGTTATAAGCTAAGTTAATGGTTTTGCATAAAACTTGTGAACCGTTTGTTGAAAACCATCTAACTTTTTTAGAACTCTTCTGCTGATTTCTTTGAAATTCTTTATATTCATAAATTAGGGTAGTAATGCAAAGGCGATAATGTAAGTGATTTTTTTGTCATTAGCTTACAAAATAGAGCATTATCTTGTATGGTTAATATGATAAAGTATTTCAATAAAATACTTTAGTAAACGCTATGAGTTTTGAAAACTGTCGCCAACATCAAAATTAGCCGTTATTAGTGACAACTTAGAGTTAACATTTCTTATTTATTAATTTTGCTTTGAACAGGAAATTTAATGAAGAGGTACTAAAACACACAAAGAAGAAATATTTGAATATGCAAACCAATGCATATAATTTTGTAAACACCAAATCACATAGATTGCCGTTTATTAGGTAGCACACATTGCAGACGTTGGGTTTAAACTACAATATTACCTTACATATTTCTGTTAACTGGTGTTTTGAAATTAAGAGTAATTAATTACGTTTTAATATTTGTTTTGAAATTAAGAGTAAATAATTATTAAATGTAAATGAACTCAAGTGTTTGGTTACCAGTAATAAAAAATAAATATTAAACTATATTTTATGATGAAATACTAGCTCTCTTTATTCTACATTTACAACAGTTTTGGCAGTACATTTAAGAAAGAATATAAACTAAAGATAACTGATTATATTTAGCCAATTAAGTTGAAATGCTGTTTATTTATTTTCTCAAAATCTAATGAGTAAATAAGAATGAAAAAGTACCAGTGTTATTAGGAACTATTCGTTTTCTTTCTTTTCAGAATAGTTGTAAAAAAAATTGCTTAACTATTATTGACTCCAGTGGTTGAAGTGGTATTAGACACAACTGGTATTGTGAGACTAAAAGAAGTAAAGCATCCTTATTTCCCTTAAAAAGGGGAAGCAATTTCCATTTCGAAAAAAGAAAATAAAGCAACCTCCATTTCCCTTAAAAAAGGGAATCTAAAGGCATTTCCCTAAAAGCAGGGAAGTAATTCCTATTCCTCCTAAAATTATAAGTGGTATAAAATTTTAAGTAGTTAGGGAAGTATCCCCCTAAAGTTAGATTAAATTACCCCTATTTCCCCTAAGAGAAGTGAAGCTGCCCCTATTTCACCTAAAAAAAGGAGTAATTCCCATTTACCTAAAGAAAAGTGAAAATGCCCCTATTTCACCTAAAAAAAGGAATAACTCCCATTTACCTAAAGAAAAGTGAAGCAAGGGGGAATCTACGAAAAGTAGAGGAGTTCTTAGGCTGCATTTATAAGGACATAACAAAGCTCTTTGTTAAAAACAATTTAGCTATTAATTCTTTGGATGAAAACTTCTAATTTTACTGGGCTTAATAATCACTGCTTAAGCTCAATCAAAATTCTTTCTTACAGGTGTCCTCGAGTTTTGTGTTACGTAGGTATACTACTCATCTCCTTCCTGGAATCCATACTGAATGTTTTCTTGGCAACTCATTTCCTCAACTATCTTCGACACCGCAATGGCCCTATCACACAAAGCAGTCTAACCAAAGCAGCAATAATACTATCATTAGTGATCTACATTCTAATGATTGACTTCAGTCACGTGGCGAGGGTGTTCATTACCGTTTTCATGGTTACTGTTCTACCAACGCTTTTCAACGATTGGACTTTTGAAAAGAGATTTTACTGTTATCTAATGCACAGAATCATATTTTTGCTTTCAATTGACCATTTATTGCGATACGACGTGATTCCTGAGTCAGATATTTTGTTATTCTGTTTGATATGCCCGGTTCACGCTCCTCTTTACCTTCGAAAACATTTTACGAAGTTCCTTGCTTTTGTAATTAAATGGTATACATGACGACGATAGATAGATTTTCTGTGACCTTTGTCTTTGCACAGCGTGTTTCATCGAGTTATCATTATGTACTGTATCTATGTTCTTGCATTCGTATTAAAAATGATTTTTAAGTAAGACTTTCAAGTGGATTATCTAGTGCAATACCTCATAATTTTCGAGCTATTCTGCTTGATAACTTCTGCTCATACAACTCAAACAATAGGGACCTTTATACCTCAGAAAAATAAGTCCTTAAATATTTTACTTACGCAATTGAATGAAATATGAGTAAATAAAACTAAATGAAATATGACTCAGGAATGTGATCTTTTTGTTCTGACAAAAGTTGAACGCGTTTTATTTGTGATAAATTTAATTTCGGCTATGAATGTTTTGAAAAAGAAGCATATGCCCTGAAATTTTTATTCGCTAAATGATTTTATAATAAGAATTGTGTACCTGAAGTGGACTATCTATTACAATACCATGTAGTTCTTGATATAATATTACTTAGCTCGTAAGAAACTTTAAACTAAATTTATTTCAGGAACAGCTATTGCGGAATAAAAAATGTCTATTTTTTCAAATTGTTATCCAGACGACATAATTTACTAAATTGAAGATTCAAATGCGATCATTTCTTGAACAAAAACTAAAAGATCAAAATATCACTAATATAGTTGAGAAATTAACTTAACTGCTCTGGAAAAATAAGTGATTTGTTAATCTATTCACTTGACCTAAAAGTAATTTGCATTTTCTTAAATTTAATTAATTAATAGGTAAAGGATTATCCCAGCATTGAAGTAAATATTGGTCACATATGGGGTCAATGTTTGTTGCAATTTTACTATTATAATGATGAGCGTTAAAATTCTAAGTAATAGGGAGATTTCGCAAATTTAAGTATCATTCTCCAGCACGTTGGATTTTAAGTAATTGTGTAGGCGAACCTACAGTTCGCATGCTTTAGAGAAAACCTACAAGAACAAAAGAAAGTAATTCTGGTAGGACAAAAGAAAGGTTTTCTGGCATCATATGGTATTCTTTGCTTTCTTTGAGGTCACTTTTGGGTTACCACAATTTTTGTTTATTGTTTTGTGATTGTTTCTTGGTTGTTTTTTTTCTTCTTCATATTAATTATATTTCAAATTTTAACCTGCGTTATTCTTTTACCATTAGCTGCTTGCTTTTTATCGTTGCTATAACTATCTTTGTTTCTCATCTTTACAAAGAATGTCTGAAAAAATTAAAAATGCATATTTTTATTGGTCTGAAGGAAGATGGAATGTAATATTGATTGGTCTGTGCATGGTGGTTTGATTTTTGTCCTGTTTGTATGAAAGATATGCATTTGTATTAATGAAACGGATGGTTATGAATGGATTTGTCGTGAGAAAGGTAAAAAGGCTCTTCGTTGTAAACAGTCTTTGGTTTGAAGAGATTAAAATGATTATGCTTTAGGCTTTAATATTTTCGTATTTGCGAGTGTATGAAGCTGGTACAAATATTGTTATGAATGAGGTTAATGTGAGATTAAGAAAAACTGTGATTGATTGGCGTACATTTTGTAGAGAAGCGTGTATTGTTGTATGCATGAAAAAAAAAACGAAATGTTTGGAGGTCTTGGTATGGTTGTGGAAATCGATGAAAGCAAGTTCGGTAAGAGAAAATATAATCCTGTTAGACGAGTGAATGGTAAATGGGCGTTTGATGGTACAGAAAGAGGGAGTGGTAAATACTTTTTCCAGGTAATAGAAGATCGCATGGAAGAATATTTGCTTAAAGTTATCACCCTAAAAATATTGCCTTGGACAACTCTCATTCCTTGAATTTTGTTGATCTCGAAACTGGTATCCATACCAATAGAATTGAGGACATATGAAGTCATATAAAGAGAGAGTTTCACAAGCAAAGCGTTCGCCAGTCATCTGAAGAAATCTTCAATTCTTATTTTGCTAAATTTATGTCGAGAATTCAGAATCGGGATCAGACGGAAGCTGCTTCGTTCTAAGACTATATAGAACGCATAAGAAATTTGAAAAGAAATTTTAAGTAGTTCACAAATGAGAGCTATTTTCGTTGTTTTGAAAAGCTTTGTGCTTATTGTGTTATAAAACAAAATTACATTTTTTTCTTAATTTTATGTAGATGTTAAATTAACACATTAAATGTTTTACGTATCCATTCTTAATATAAATGTTTTAATCTACTTCAGTTGTTTTAAGCATAACAAAAATCTATTGCTTTTTGGCACCGACCTTGGCTTTTCAAAAAACGCCAAATATAGGCTGGCCCTTCTATTGTAAACTATTACCTAAGTACTAAATAAAATGAAAAAAAGAAATTGCTATGTACTAAAAAGCAAAATTAATAGAGAAATGGTGCTAAATCGTTTAGGAAAAACGTTAAAATTTGCCATATTATTATTGACGATATTGATGCTTTATTCCTTTTGGAACTAATTACTAATTAAAGTAAAAAATGAGCTATGTTATGAGCAATATAATGGATAAATGGTGCCTTTTAAGAAAAGAATAAAAAATCAACCAGCTATTATTGAGGCCAATGAAGTTTAACTAGTTTTGGTAATAAGTACTAGCTATAAAAAAACAAGCTATTTTCTCTTAAGAACTATAAAGCAAAATTGATAGAGACATGGCACTGATTCGTTTCGGGGAAATGTAAATAGCGCAGTTTTAATCAATACAAAATGTACAAATAACGCAACAGTGTATATTTAATACCTATTAAAACTGCATCAATACTGAGAAGCTTCAATATAGATACTGTGATCGAGATATTTTTACTATTCCTCTTTAGAGACAGCGTACCGGGGAAAATCTCGCGATTGCGGTTTTGACTATTATGAGTTGTACCGGAGCCATACCAAACTATTCTGAAAACAGTTTATCTTTATTTTAAGAGGATGAACTACTGAAATCGAGTTCTATATTCTGATGTTATCTATATGTTCGTTGAATTGACAAGAACTATTAAAGTGTATTTTGTACTGAACACTAAAGCCCGTATAATTATGTGATTAAATAACCTTCTAAATAATAGGTGCTTGATACTTTCACTTAGGTTGCATTGGAGCTGCACAATGGGTTATTAGCAACTGTCTGGGAAACATTCTGAGAAGGATCTGGAGACAACATACATATTTTACATCCGACCTGAACTAGACCACGATCAATCTCCGATCCAGGACCTCCAGAAGCATTGATTTGCTATGGGAACTTGGAGAACTTTGAAACCCCGAAAGATTTAGCCTGCATCAGCCACCATTTTGCGCACGGGAAGTCTTCGGCAGGTGGGGATTGAACTCTCGGAAATGAGCCCTAACAGCTAAGTTATCCCTGTCCTTTAATAAATAAATAAATTGATAGGTATTTTGTTTACGTAACACTAAAGCTGCACAATGGGCTATTAGTGATTGCCTGGAAAACATCCCCGAGGGTCATCCAAAGACATGCCATCACAATTTTGATCCTCTGCAGAGGGGATGGCTCCTCCACGGTGGTAGCCTGAAGAGCTGCATGCGAAGTCAAGCACTTTACGGTAGAACAGTCTGACGAGGACCGATATCGCGCACCATCAGTCCCTATGTAGGCTGATCAAAGTGGTCACCCACCCGCCTAATGACCGCAGACAGTGATGCTTGACTTCAGTGTTATACTGGGGACCGTGTCTTTACGATCAGTCCACTGCGGGATTAAATAAATTGTAGAAATTATTTATAATTCATGAGACTCTGATTTTGGACTGAAATTGAGATAGTCGTAGGTTTGCGTGTCAAAAACTTAGTAGTAGTAGTAGTAGTTCATTTGCGTCGCACTAGAGCCACACAATGGGCTATTGGCAACGGTCTGGGAAACATCTCTGAAGATGATCCAAAGGCATGCCATCACAATTTTGATCCTCTGCAGAGGGGATGGCACCCCAGCTTCGGTAGCCAGATGACCTGCACGCGAAGTCGAGCACTTTAAGGGTAGAACAGTTTAACGAAGACCAATACCGCCCACCCTCGGTCCCGACACAGACTGATCCAAGTGGTCACCCACCCGCACACTGACCGCAGCCAGTGATGGAATTCGAAAAGATGTTCNATCACAATTTTGATCCTCTGCAGAGGGGATGGCTCCTCCACGGTGGTAGCCTGAAGAGCTGCATGCGAAGTCAAGCACTTTACGGTAGAACAGTCTGACGAGGACCGATATCGCGCACCATCAGTCCCTATGTAGGCTGATCAAAGTGGTCACCCACCCGCCTAATGACCGCAGACAATGATGCTTGACTTCGGTGTTATACTGGGGACCGTGTCTTTACGATCAGTCCACTGCGGGATTAAATAAATTGTCGAAATTATTTATAAGTCATGAGACTCTGATTTTGGACTGAAATTGAGATAGTCGTAGGTTTGCGTGTCAAAAACTTAGTAGTAGTAGTTCATTTACGTCGCACTAGAGCCACACAATGGGCTATTGGCAACGGTCTGGGAAACATCTCTGAAGATGATCCAAAGGCATGCCATCACAATTTTGATCCTCTGCAGAGGGGATGGCACCCCAGCTTCGGTAGCCAGACGACCTGCACGCGAAGTCGAGTACTTTACGGTAGCACAGTTTAACGAGGCCCAATACCGCACACCCTTAATCCCTACGTAGACTGATCCAAGTGGTCACCCACCCGCACACTGACCGCAGCCAGTGATGCTTGACTTCGGTGATCTGCTGGGAACCGTGTCTTAACGAACCGTGTTTTGCGGGACCCAAAAACTTAGAAGAAGAGGTATTGTCCTAAAGTGTGGAATGTAGAGTGTTCGATTCCCACCATACATCTTTCACTGTCTTTAAATTAGGTCCTTCTGTATTCATTTATTTATTTATTCACGTTCACATACAAGCATATGCATTCAATGCAGAGAGCGGCTTTCAAACCCGCGTTATGTTCAAGAAGGATAAATAGAACGAATTAGAGAACACAAATAGAAGAAGGGCAAATAAAGCAAAGACAATGAAGAGACATCCAGGGTTACGACGGGACTCAGACCTGCTACCTTCTCGCTTCAAATCTTTTGGCAGAAGGGCGTTTATCCCTGGGTTGACCTCAAAGCACCTTTGAATTTCTGCTGTTATTTGAGTTCTTTTCATTCAGACAAGAGTTTATTGGGGACATTTGATAGAATTTATGTATGATTGAATAAAAAAATATTTGAAATAAATAACTATGATTAATGAAGCAAAAAGTTAGTTTGCAGCAATTGTGTTTAATCTGTTTTTTTTTCCTAATAAGTTTACTTTGTTAAGCTCTTAACGTACGATAGCATATTTTAATATTTTTTTATTTTGGTGCGGAGCAACATTTGCTCAACTAATTTTAGCTTTGTGTACATTGTAAACACTGATATTTGATTTTTAAGAAACACAATCATTTTGAACTCTGAATCCTTCGTAAACTTAGTGGGGAGTCAGAGTAGCAGTAAACAGTCAGAAAATGTAAGTATTCCTGAAATATCTCATAATTTTACTGACATTTTCGATAAAATTATTAATAATCAAGGAAAGTTGGTAGATTTAAGAATGTTTTAGAGGTTATACCCTCTGAACTTCAGAGTATTATGTATGTATTTATATTTAATTTTTTGTTCGCTGATATCTTTGTAAGATTTTTCTCTAGTTCAAGGTTCAGAAATTTTATTCGATAATATTCTCAATGTTGTCAATACAAAGATTTGAATTTTCAATTTATTAATATATTCCTCATGTACCGAATATTATTGTTTAAGATCATAACAAGTATGCAATGATTGAGAAATATTCATTGATTTTAATAATTTCCATATTGGCTAGAAAAATCTAGTTAAATTAGTAACTTTTCTTTTTTAAAAAGCTTTAAAAATTTTTCCAAGCATTCAAAATATTCTATTTTAAATCCTACTTTTTTTGCTGTTGAAAACAAAATTTTTGGTACGAGTTCAAAGTATTCAAACTGGCATTTTCTTGCCGAAAGGGCTACAAAAAACACGCAATAAATTATGAAATATGTGAAGATAAAAATTGCAGAGTGCTATTAACATTTTTAGTTACTTTTTTGTCATTTTTTTAATACAATATTAAACAATTTATGATAATGCTCTAAGGAATTGTGATTTACGTTTATCATTAAAACTCATGAAGTATAAAGGAAGCAGATGTAAAGCACATTTTTTTTTTTATGTTACTATTATTCGAAAACCTTCAACTTTCCACGGTACTTTTTCATTTCGTCGGCTCAAGTAAATTCAGCTATTTTATCTGTTTATTTATTTTTGTTTTTTGAAAAATCTGTTTATTTATTTTGTGGCCTAAAAAGAATACAATAATGGAAAATAAGCATCAAAATAATAATTAAAAGAGTTTAATTCGCAAGTTTTCGGTGAATTTGCATTAGCAACTTTGTCGCCGGCAAAATGGAAAATTTTAAAAAATCAAGTGAAAAGCACCCTTTTTACTTGATTTTTTAAAAAAATATTCATCAAGAGTTTCAGAAATACGTTTTAATATAAACTTTGTTTAATCTTAGCATAATACCTGGAAAATTAACTGAGACGATGTCAACTTTATTCTTGCAAATGTCTCAATTTTCGGTTTCAAATCCATAGAAACTTGGTTCTCTTTTTAAATTTTTTTTTAAAAATTATCTTATTTAAAAAAAAACTTTCGTCTTAGAATTCAAGTTTTTTTTAAATTTTTGTTATTTTTTTTTGCAAATTTGAAACTGAGAGTAGACGTCGATTTGAGGTTAGATATACGAATACTGTGGATAGCTAGAGAAAAAAGCTTCAACAAAACTGCTTATTTGTTATTAACAATGGGTCTGTATTCACTAGTAAAAGTGCAATTCTTTTACCTAGTGACTGGCGCAGTATAGCCACTTCTGGCTCTTGTGCCATTAAACTTTAACAAACCAACAAACCATATTTGTTATTAAGAGGATGCTATATCGCAGGAGAAACTTTTTTTCGCAAATTTTCCTTCACCTCCGTAACAAATGTAATACTTAAAGTATAGAAAAACTGAGTTCAGTCAAACCTAGAGAAGGCTAGGAAATTTCAATCGCTGAAAAAAAAACCCAAATGCAAGCAAATTATTTGAAGAGAACTGTCCCATACTAAAATACTAAATTATCCTCTCATAATTTGCTTTAATTTTGATATTTTGAAATTTTTTTTTCGGTATTTAAAACTTCATGGCTTACTCTGAAATCGCCTTTTCTATACTTTAAATTTAAAATTACTTATGGAAGTGAAAGGAATTTTGCGATTAAAGGTTCCTCCCATGATTTGGCGTTCTCTTAACATACTAGATGTAAACTAAAAATAGATTTTTAGTTTTGGAATAGAAAGTCAGTTTATTAAAGTATTTATTTACATGAGAGAAAAGATGATATAGTAACAATCAATACTTTCCTGGAATTTGGAAGTTTTAACTCAGCTTAGGTCGGATCGGAGTCTAGCTCTCGAGAATGTCCGGAGTGCATTATTTTTGCTTTTTAGTACATAACTTATTTATCTTTATTTCAATTACCGAGTTTTATTCGCCATCCTAAAAAGACAAACACTATAAGAAGTCTTGCTTGTTAAAAGTACTAACTTTTTTCTTATTTTCTATTGAATGTATAAGTTGTAAGCTAGATTTTAATTTATTTGTTAATTTAGTATATGCAAGCTGTAAGTTAGTTTGAACGATTGTTATGGTAAAATTACGGAACAAATTTTTGTGTTAAAATAGTGTTATGTTCCTTGTTTTTTTGTAAAAATGGAGTCAGAATAATCTTATTTTAGTTAAACAGTAGTTTTTAGTAGAGAACGACAGAATAATGCACTTTATGGTGGACTTTCATAACATTTGTGGTGACCCGGACGGGATTTTAAGAAGAATTAATAAATAAAAACTAGTACTTTTAACACTGTTGCCGTTCTCTAGCATCATAGCAGAACGTGACTATTTATTTTTTTCCAGTCTTTTCTCTTTAATGCATTACTTCATTGCATTCGGTGTGATGGGTCTTAATTAATTTTACATGACAAATTAGGAAAAACATTTAATCTCAGTTTCAGATAACAAATTAGGGCTTCGACGCATTGTGCATCCAAAAGGACGACAACTACCACCAATTGTAAACGAGCTTTTCGACGTCGTAGAGGAAAGGTAAAGAAAAAAAAATTAATAAATACAAGCGAGTCTTTTACCAGAAGTAGGAACAAACTCTGCAAATACTGCCCCCTCTCATTGAGAAATAATAAAGTCAATAGAAACATGTTTTAAAAGAGCAGTTATAAAAAAAAAATTGACACGTTATATCAGATAACTTTATAAATACTAATTTTATGACGTAGCACCGATCCACATGATCGCTGAACTTGTAAAGAATTAAACAATTTGCAGGAATAGAATCGTCTACAATTTGATTGATAACAAACGCTGATGCTAAATCAATGAGAAAAATCATTTAAACAAATCTCGCGAACGGACCTAATGAAATGTTTAAATGACTTTTAGAATAGACGTCTAAGATTGCTCCTTGTAGTCGATGCTCGAATTTCAGAGCTTTAGCACAAACTGTTCTAGAGTTACAAATTCGACATAGAGTTCCGACTTAATGGACTGAGTAAACAAGAAATACTGAATGAGCATGAAAGAAAAGTTGGGAAAAGAAAAGAAAGTAAAAATTTGAAAATTAGTTTTTTCCCCGAATTTTATTAAAAAGTAACAATTGACGAGGTAATATACATGTAGCAGAGTCCGTGCTAAGCATCCACCTAATCGCATAATGCGATAAAATCATATTTTTCTAATAAAATTGTGTTTCGGCAAAAGTATTGGGGAATTATTTTTTCCACTGGAGAGAAAAATATGTATAAAAAGTTGTTGAGATTTGCACGTGACGAAGACTTTTGATATTTAGCTAATTTACTGACTAATTTGAAATCCTTAGCGCAGGTGCAGCAGCGAAGTAACGCTGTCAAGGTTGGCTCTGTCATTCTATTATTAAAAGATAAGAAAAAAAAGATTGACTATCTAATATTCAACTTAAAATATGCAGAATTTCATATTACAACATGACAACGTTGTAATAAGAAATTCTGACTGTTGTTTTACAAAAATCCAATATTTAATAGCAATGAGCTAGAAATTAATATTTGCCTTTATATACCTCACATGTATTTACAATTATCCACATTAATTTTATATTAATTTAGCGAAATATATTTTTACTCTTTGTGCGGAATCTCTACAAAGTTTTATTTGTCAAAACTTAAAAAGGTGGCACATTTTGAAAAAAATAATTAGCAAAATTAATCACTCAATAGTAATTTCAACTCAAATAGTCAAGATATTTCAAGAACTCAAATAGAAATTTCAAACTTAACCTGCAGCCATACAAAGCTTCGACCATCTACAGTAGTGTAGTAGTACCTGTGGGGTAAAAAAAAAAAGGAAATAAATAGCATAAGCCTTTTTTTATTCAAATTTTTATGCTTTATTTATATAGTTTTCAAGAACATTAGTTATTGAAGTTTGGTCAGTATGCAAAATAATTTTAAAAAAATGCTCTTTTGAGCATCATAATGTGCATTTTTAAAATTATTTTCTTTTTCTGAATGATACTTATTGAAGAAAAAATTTTCTCAATTTACAATTTAACTTTTTAATGAAACTTTCACTGTGAGAGACTACATCTTTCAATCTATGCTAAAATTTTTGACACTTTAGATTTCCCTCAACTGCGGTACTCAGAAAAAAATATTGTACCTATAATTCGGCATAATAAGTGTATTTTGAAATGCTAAAAGTGTTAAACCGTAAGTTTTTTCCTTCCCTTTTCACATCTTGAGCTTGGTGCAATTTAACAACTATTGACTCACGTCCTCAGCACCATAAGCATAGGCTGTTTGTTTCAGTCCTGTTTGTTTGTGGTCATAAGAGCAGGTGATACGTGGCACATGCTAAAAATAACAGCAAGTTGTGAAGAGTGGTTTGCTCTTGGCTCTAAAATGTCACTTGTAGCAAAACGTAAAACTGTGGATAGAAAATATAATTTTTTTCTTGTCATAAATTTGAAATTAAAAATTCAATTTATTCGAAATTTACTTTTAACTACGTAACAGGCAAAAAATCCTAGTGATTTTCAAATGATGAAATAAAAGTTTTCTTTCCAGGTTGGATGACGAGATTCTGCTTTCTTTATTGCTATTTGTCGCTACTGCAATTATATCATTAATGTGGACTTCAGTAATGTCATTGACATCCATCGCAATACAAACCATCGTAGGAGATTACCATAAACAAGACGCCATTTTCATCATTCCTTTCTTGGTACTAGTAGTCGTCAGCGTTTTAGCATTTGACTGCAATCGAGCGTACAAACGTACCGTACAGGCGTTCTCTCTCATCCTTGCCTTCTCTATTTTTGCGGACTGGAGTTTTAAAACCAGGTATTACTTCAATGTGGTGCATCTGTACTTCTTTGCGCAAATACTGCGATACCTGGCAGAACATGAATTAGTCACAGCATCAGACTTTGGATTAGATTCTTGTTTTAATCTAGATTAACATGGTTTTATCGTATTTAAAATTGGTATTCATTAAAAGTGAAGCATGGTTGTTTTGAAATCAAAAAGTCATTGCGAGATGCTGAAATACTTGAAATCTGTGCCTTTTTTATATTTAAACATGTTTTGATTTTAAATTTTCTTTTCTACAAAAATTGCTTTGTTTTTAGCCACACTTTGTATTTTCTGATTCAAGATTTGATTTCCAAGTAATAAAATCCGATTTAAATTTTTGCTTTGTACTTTTAGATTTATTTAATTTCCAAAACTACTTATTTCAACAACTAGTTTTTAAGCACTTGTTCGTTTTGCACAGTATTTAGCATTCCAATTCTCAAACTTACATGCAGTAGGAAACATGACGCGAGGAAAATGCTTCGATCCATCCGTAACGCTTCTCCGCTTTCTTGCGTACACTGCAGAAAGATTAGGTGTACAGTTGCCATTATTTTAAGTTTTGAGGAAAACCAATTATGTTAAGTACAGAACTGTAGCTATGGTTTTAAATTTTATAAAATTTCACAAAATAAAACAATTGTTTGAAAGAATTTGCTTAATTTTATTACTACAAATGTGTTCGTTTTTAAAGCGAAGTGACTTTGCACTGAAGACATAAATTTATTCTACACTACTCGCCATTACAATTGCTACACCAGGAAGGCGACTTGAAATTTGCAGGACGGATAAAGCATGTTGTGGTATGCAAATGATCAGCTTATCAGCGCATTCATGCAATGTAGGTGGCTGTAGCGACACCTACAATGTATACAAGAGGGACAAGTGCAACAAGTGCCTTCAAAGAGAAATGTCTACCAGCACGTGTCTGAGTTGGATCGAGGTCGAATTGTGGTCTACTGGGATTGACGTTTATCATACCGAAGTATTGCTACTCGCGTTGGTCGAGAACCTATAACTGTTAGAATATAGAATCAATGGTTTCATGATGTTCACATGGAATGCCGCGCAGGAAATCAGCTGCCCCCATCACTAACAGCCGAGAGGACAGACTTTTTATCCACATGGCCTTAAGGGATCGTACAGCTACGTCACGAATCCTGAATCAAGAAATAATGTCATGTGCAAGACAACAAGTGTCTGGACGAACAGTTCAGCGACGTTTGCAGCAGCATGGGCTGCTAGTACAGAGAACATGGCTTCGGCAACCCTTGAAGCTGCGTCACAGGCGGAGCGCCTCCAATAGTGCGATCAACTACGAACCTGGACGCTGGAATGGCATGACATCGTCTTTATAGACGAATTCAGGTTCCGTATTCCGCATAATGATGGCAGCATCATTGTTTGGCGACATCGTGGAGAAAGCCTATTGGCAGCTTGCATTCGACATCGTCATACTGGCCCATCACCTGGAGTAATGGCATGTGGTGCCAGTGGATACATGTCTCGATCATCCCTTGTTCACATTACCCGCACTTTGAACAGCAGCCGTTACATTTCTGATGCGTAAGGGTCAGTTGCTCTGCCTTATCTTCAAGCTCTCTATAAACCTACGCTTCAGCAGAATAATGCACGACCGCATGTTGCCCGCACTATCATGAACTTCCTTGGCACAGAACATGCTTCCTGTTACCCTGACCAGCACGTTCTCTTGATCTCTCACTAATTGAAAACGTCTGGTCAATGGTTGCCGAATGACTGGCACGCCACCACTCGCCAGTCACTACGGTCGATGAATTGTGGCACAATGGAATGCTGTACCCTTCCATGCTATCCAATCTCTGTTCGACTCGATGCCCTGGAGAATAACTTCTGTTATTGTTGCCAGGGGAGGGTACTCTGAGTATTAATTCCTCGGGATCTATACATCCAAATATCCTGAAAATTTAATCACTTATTCTTCCAACTATAATGTATTGTTATGTGCCCAATAAATATTCTTTTATTTGCATTTCTTCCTGGTGTAGCAATTTTAATGGTCAGTAGTGTAATTCACATGAAAAGATGTGTTGTCAGTAAAATAAACAAACAAAAAAAATATAAATAAAACTATAACAGGGAAAAAATAAAAAAAAAATGTGACTACAGGCAGTACAATAACTTTTAGCTTAACTGAGCACCAAAAATTGTGGTAACTATACTCTAAGCTTTTCAGCGTGCATTAGAAATAATTACTGATCTTTGTCTTCTGCTTCTTCCGCTTCACTACAGCTTTTGTAAGTTCATCAGAAACATTTTCTTCATTGGATCCACCTTTCTTAAATTTTTGTTCAGTTAGAAGATACACTAATGGAATATAAACAGTCAACATCTGATGTGTGTACTTCTTCATCGGAAGAATCATCTTCGAAGGATTTACGTTTCATTGATGAAACTGTTTTGCTGTGTTATTTCTTCATACTGTTATGCTAAAGAGGAAATATGAAATGTTTGGAATTGGGTACTTGCACTTCAAGAAGATCACAGATACTCACATGCGTGACTTACGTCGTCAGCGCCAGCTGATCGTTTATAAGAAAAATGGTGCAATTTTATGGCTCCGTGCCAGTCTTAGTGTTAAGTAAAAAATATATAGTTAATAGATTGAAATCTTACTAAAAAAATAGAGAATGTGTCACTTAAGGTCGATAGGGCATATATCAATAATGCTAAAAGTGACCTTATTCGATGTACCTTTTCTAAGAAATTACTTATGATATAGCTTTGAAATTTTTGGGGGATATTTGAGATTATATCAGTAGTATGCTCTTATAATATTTTAGCATTAGCAAGAATACTTTTTAAGTTATGAAAGATTTTTGCTCAAAAATAAGTTTTTATTTCATACATGTACATATTTTAAAAAAAACTTCTGCTAAAGACATGTGTTAATAGTTACCAGAATGCAAACATGCATGTGGAATAAAAGACTAAATCAATATCTTATTTAGGTGCTGAGAAAAGGTACATCGAAAAAGGTCAAATTTAGCAGTATTGGTATATGCCCTACCGACTTCATTTAAAAGAATTGATATTTGGCTTAATGGAAGAAGAAGTTTCCAGTAAAAATGCCACGTTATAACAACCAGTCAGGATTGAGATACCTAAACTAAGTTGCCTGCCGATATAATTTTATTAGTTACCATTTTAATTTATTGCAGATTTAATTTATTAGAGGAACATTCAATGAATAAAAATGTTTCTCCGAACATTTGTATTTGTCATATACACGCATATTTTATTCTTAAACCTTGTTTATCACAAACTCTGTTGAGCGAAAAAAAGATTTTCTCCAAACAGGTAGTGAACTCTATAGTTATTAAAACCGAAATGCATGAAAGGAATATAGATTGTATCATGTGTCTGGAGTATTTATCCACATTCCGTTTCGATAAAAAATAAATTTCTTTGTGGCTAGTGATAGTAACCCCTGCACGTTGAAGGATTATAAGAAATGTAGCTGGATCCTATTCAAAAAAAGAATTAAATTGTTGGAAATAGACATTTTACTACTATGCGCTCAACATTAAAATTAGCAGTGGCCGATATAACAAGCATAGTTTAATATCTTTGACTTACTAATTTCGCGTAAATAAAACAATTTAAGCACAAATACAATTGATTATGTGTCATATGGCAGTTTCAATACTGTAAAAATGAATGTCAGTGTCAAACCCAAATTCATCATTTGAAGCAAAGCAAAATTTAGTTTACTCACTTTTCAGTGAACTTAAAACAATTATTCTCTGGAATTAGTATTTTACGTTACTGTTTCCAACATTATATACTTTTGAATTATTTAGTTAAATATCTTTAAAATACTTCCAAAAAATAAGAAGAGTTACTATTTTAAGAAACAATTTTTTTATGCTCTGTATGGCCCTAAGTCACAAGTCACTGACACAGTAAGGAATACGAAAACAAATCACTCTAGAGAATATAATAAACTAGTTATTTTATTCACAAATTGCATTAAATAAATGTTACAAAATACTTAATAAATTCATCTTAATGCAAAAGGCAATCTTTAAATTATCAAGCGCAAATTATAAGACAATCATTAAAAATTATTTTAAATGCAAATGTATCAATAATAGAGCTCGAGTATACATTCAATCATTGCAAAAACAGGCAGCTTACACATGCACAGCCAAACTGGCTAATAAAATTCGGAGAGATCAAAATATCATGGATTTATAATAAAAGCTGTTTCAATTAAAAGTACATTTAAAAAAGTGTAGTCGAAAAATTATTCTTACATCTTGCACTGAAATCCAAGTTATACATAATAAATTTTATGTTTTTAATAAAACAAGTATATTTGTGTTTACAAAACAATATTAAACTTTAGAGGCTATGCTATTAATTTTGTATGCCAAATACCTATACATTATTCAAAAAATATCGATTAAAAGACAACGACGGAAAAAAAGAGATCAAATATAATGAGACTTCTTCTAATCAATTGTTTGGATTCTCCTTGTAGATCTTCAATTAACCGACTAAAGAACAAATTCATCTCTAATCCTGTAAAAATAAATTAATGGCGTTACAGGGATTGTTGAATACTAAATAATAAAAGAAATTGTTTTTGAATTATTGTTCCTAATGTTTAAATAATAAATGGACTTCATAATTATTTGGATAATCAGAAACAAATATTTAGCATTGCACTAGAAATTATAACAAGAATTCCAAGAAATGAAAGATAATTTGTAAATTCAACTGTCAAGAACTAAGAAGAAAAACTAAAAAACATCATTTTAACTTTAATCTCAGACCAAGTGTTCAATAAGTTGGACAACATTTGGTACAATTTTTATATTTCAGTAATATTTTAAGGTTATTTTTTGCTTGTATGTTCTTACAACAAGATTGTCTAGGTAAAAATATAATTCGAGTTGCTCATAGTTTTTAATTAGAAAACTAGATTCAAATGCTTATTAGTAAGTTATATGTATGACTTATTAATGACCAATTATTTTAGTCTGGTGAATTTTAACTTCATGGCCAAAAAGTAAATCAATACATTAAAACGAATTTATGCAAAGCAAAAAATAAAATCTGTTTTATATGAAAAAATATACAAATTTATTTTTTTCCCCATCTAATAATAAAAAATAAAACTTAATCAAGTTTAAGTACTTGAATTTTCTCAACAAAAATGTTTCAATGAATTTATGTTTACTTTCTGCTCAACTGTATACAAAAGGTTTTCCATAAAACTTAAAAAGTTCTTTTTTATGTAGTAGCAACTCAACATAACTAAAAAATGAGAGTACAAGCGATTTTTTTAAAAAAGAAATTAACTGAACGCTTATTCTAAATGAAACAGATGATTTAATTTTTCAATTTTTTTCAATTTTTTTTATTTGACCAACAAAAGTGGAGGTGAATTCAGAGTAAAAAAACGAAATGCTTTGTGCCATAAAATTTTGCTATCGTTTGGGTAAAACAGTTCCATAAAACATTTCAGTAGATGAAAAAGCAAACAAAGACAAATGTTTTAGAGATTACATGATTTTTAGATGAAATTGTGATTTTAAAGTTCGCAACACACTATTTTTTCTATATTTACTGTTGGACGAAAAGCTCGGTGGCAAAAAATTTAAAATTGATTCTGACATCATTTCAGCAACGCATTCTGAGAAGCAGCTTTCAAACAAAGCTTTTCAGCTTGTTTAGTTTCACGAGTTTAAAATAACCCCTATTTGCAGCAACAACGGAACGCAGCCTCAAATCCAAACTAACAGTCGCATAAATATTCCAATTTAAATTTTCGAGTAGAGATAATTTTTTTTTCTCATCTTAGTGATCAATGCGGTTAAATTTTGAAGCTAAGTAGAAAACATCTGTCATGAATGTAGAGTTTCATCTCTTGTTTTCTATTTTTAACTCATTTTTCTTCAGTCTGAATTCTTAAATCTCCTGTCATTTTTGGATCATTTCAGGACAAGATAAAATTTCAAAACTATTTTACATATTTTTCAAAGCTTAGATTATAGCTGCTGTTACAGATGTTTCCAACATGCAAAAGAAATATCGAATAGTGTTTAAGAAAGGATTACCATTAAATTCATGCTGCGAAAGGACTAATCCTACTTGCTAAGGCCGGCTTCAAATTTTTTAGAGGTTCCTCTTAGGCGAGCTTTAATGCTCACTTCTCCAGTTTCTTCAGCAGATCCTGTTGCACCTGAAATAAATGCGAAACATTTTTTACAATGCATTAATTAATCAATAAAAAACACTATTGCATTTCACTATAATATACACCGAAGAGCCATTACATTATGATCACCCTGCTAATAATAACTAGGACCACCTTTAGCCCTCAAAACTGCTAGATCCCGCCGTGGCATTGATTCCACAAGGTGCTGATGGGTAGTCTGAGGTATCTGGTACCAAGCGCTCACCAACTGGTCCTGTAATTCCCTCACATTGCGATGGGGTAGCGTGGCAACACAAATTTGGTTTTCCAAGTAGAACTAGAAATTCTCTATTTGACTAAGGTCAGGTGAATTTGGGGGCCAAGACATGACTTGAAAGTCACTGGAATGTTCCTGGAACCAATCCATGACGATTCGACCCTTATGACATGGTGCATTATTTTGTTGGCAAGCACCATCCCCCGCAGAAAAAATTGTTGCCATGAATGGATGAACCTAGTCTGTGACTATGTTCAAGAAGCTTACAGACGTCAGGGATTGTTCCATGAGGATTATGGGTCCTAATGTGCCCCATGAAAGCTTTGTTCCTGGGCGAGAAACCATGGAAAACTGGGCGAGCTTGTTGTTATAGATGGAGGGTGGTCATAATGTACGGCTCTTCGGTGTATGTCACAATTGAAATCCTACTAAAGAACTTGAAGATTTCTAAGTGTAATTGGTTTAGTAAATTCTTGGTTTAGTAAATTCCAAGACGAAATGGAATATTCTGATTTTTATATCATTCTTAGAAATGCAAAATTGCAATGAATTTATTACTTTTAGCTTTGAAATAAAATTTCTGTTGAAAAAATGCACGATTGGGAAGAAAAAACTATCTAGACGTGAAATTCGGAATTTAAGACAGTTTTTCCTTCGCTTCCATGCACACTTTGCTCCGAACAGTGGAAAAATATTTTCATGTCGTAGACTTTTAATGATACTTAGTTTAATAAATTCAATTTATAAAGTTTTTACTAGCCACTGCTTCAAAAAAACCGAAAGAACCGTGGCGGCTCAGAGGATAGAGAGTTCGTCTTCCAATGGGGTTCAAATCCCAGCTGGTCGATACAAATCCCGCACCTGGCTAGCAACGACCACAGGTCAGACGTAAAAATATCTTCAGTGGTAGACGAATCATGGGTCATAGTCCCGCTGACGTCGGGAAGTTTCATCTCTATGTAACGCAAATGCGGGATAGCAAATCCTCCAAGAAGGCAAAATTTCACCCAATACCTGATCCAGGAATTGTCTTCTGGATTGGATTTAAAATTACCAGGCTACTGAGTTGAGTATTAGTAGTCGTGAACCCAAAAATGGGTCGGCAACTCATCGACGGTTATAAAATAATCGAAATGTTTGTACGATTCGCCACTTTGTTATTGTTAAACCATGTTGAGTCTTTCAAAAAGTTGTCTGCATATTTTGCTTTGTAGTTTTCTACCGTATTTTAAAATATACTGTAGAGTTCCGAGCAGTTGGCATTTCTGGATAGGATGTCCGAAAGATGTGAAAATTATCAACTATCCTTACTGATTGGGTCAAGATCTAAACTATACGTGTGAACTATTTTCAAAATATGCCTTCACTGATATCAAACTCGCTTCACGAAGCTTTTCCATTGAAGCTGGAATGGAAGACAAATTCAAAATCTTAAAACAGAAGTACTATCATTATTGCAGGTTTGATATTTCCGGAGCAAAAATATCCTAATTTGACTTCTCAGCTCTTGTAGTGTGATTCATAGCTGTAATCACAAAATAAAAATGGGATTAAAATTGTTTTAAATTGAGATTCAGAAATACGTTTATGATTGATAAAATAAAAACAGACTTTTTCAAAAGATGTTAATGACACTAAACTCGACCCAAACCCTTGAGGGTGGACACAACTCAGGGGGAATCGAATAAAGTATCATTAGAAAGTTTTAAGACATCAAACTCGTCAATTTTTTTGATATGTATGTCTTAGTACATCTCCATTTAAAACAATATTCAATTAATTTCCTATTGCAATATTACAGCGCCATCTGAAAACAAAAAAGCGTAAATCTGTTGTTGCCTTGGTGCTTTTTTACCGAAAAATCATAGTCTGCAATTAGGTTCTTACAACTAATCACAGGATAGGGTTGTGCTTCAGTTATTCGAATTTTTTGAGACCCCTACTATGATGAACATGATGTTCGTAAAATTCTAATGTTACTAAGGTAGTTCTTAGAAAGGATTTTTGATTACAATCTGGAAAACTCCGGAAAACGTTCGAATACACGGTAATTGCCTTATCATTCATCTGTCATGAATTTGAGAATCAGTTATTAGGCATTTTACTTAAATTTAATGAAATTAAATGTCTATATAACAACAAATCTAACAAAACATATAGATAAATCTAATAAAATATTCCTAAAAGGAAAAAGCAAATGCGGTGAAAATTAATAAAAATAATTAAACTATGAATTTCATGCTGCAGTTTACCTAAGACTACAGGATTATTTTAAAAAGACAAACTCCATAAAATTAAGCTTAAAATAATGAGCCAGTTTCCCGATACGGAGCTACGAATTGTTCAGGCGATGAAGTTCGAAAACAAGATTAAAAATTTGATCGACTTTATTTTAAGAGAGTGCAGATATTCTTTCCGTCTCTTTTTATTACAATTAAGCGATTTTGCGTAAAATTCAAATGTTATATATGGGATGTTTTGAATAAAATATATTATGTCATTTAAGTTTGGGCAGAGTTGCAGTTCAAAGAACAATAGAACGGAATTTCGATAAGAAAAATCTAAAATGTATTGTTGAATGATACTTACCTTTACCTCTAGGTGATTTCCTTGTATTTGAGATGGATTTGGAACTGCTCTCTTCTTTCTCATGTTCAGCCGGGTTGTTTTCTTTTATTTCACTTTCCATAACTGTAAAAAAATTAAATAATTACTGAAAAGAAAAATCAATAAACTTTTGAAATACAGGGCATTTCTTGCTAATGGATTTTTAGATAAAACCCAATTAAAATTTTAATATTTTCGATCTTAACGTAGGTTTTAAAAATAACACGATTTCAATAGCAACAGAAGTTTTCTTTTTTGTGGGAGGGGAGGAGGAATCATTAAATTTTCTTCTAAAGTGTTTAGACACAATAGGAAATGAGATTCGTTTCATTGCTTCATCTTGAAAACTTTGGTGTCCTTACCAACTGTTTGAATTTTAATGTTCTAATAAATATTTTTAATAGTTTGTAAAATTGATTATATTCATTGAACTCACATAAAACTTTTTACATTTTAATTTCTTTTTTTAAAAAGTTTAGATTTTCGAAATCAATCGAATTAGAAATTTTAACTAGAGAGAAAAAGATAAAATCCCGAAATTTCAGGATTATCAAGATGATTTCCTTAAAATTCTTGTAAAAACCTTCATTCAGGTAAAACAGAAAGGGATTAACTATAGTTTGATGATGTGAGAGTTATTATCCTTTAGTTAATTCAAACATTACGTATTCAAGACAAAATCAGTAATATCTAACAAAGAAAAGAGGAAAAAAAATCATTTAAGGCATTTAATGATTGTGGAACACGTAAGTATTCTAATAGTATACTCCCACAAGGCAATTCACATACTACACGAGGAGGGTTGCGACTTTCGTATTTTTGTTGAAAAGGGGATTTAGGAAGTGTGAACACTGCTTATGATAGACACTAAATTCTCTTTATCAAAAAAGAAAAAAAATCCTTATGTAAACATGGGGAGGGTAATTGATTTTGCTGACAGTCTAAATCAATAAAAATGCACGCTGTGAATTTTTTTTGCTCTAAAGNTCTCCTTTGCCAGAAAAGGTACCGGACCCAAAGAAGTACGTTACTCGGTATGGTAGAAGAGTTCGTTTCAGAATCTGACGACTATGAAACTCCGGTGGGGAGTGATGTGGCGCCAGGCATGGTGCGTAGGCGCCAAAAGAATCAACGGGATTACAAACACACGATCGGCAACCTTGGAACTGCCCCAGTATTTAAGAAGCTTCGAACTGTACTCAGTCTCTATCCCACACAGTCTTACTTAATTTTTATGTTTCTGTTTTTAGCTTGTTATGTTCAGTTGCTAAATAAATGTTTAAGTTTATTGTTGTCATAGTTGTCTTCAACTTAATATGAGAGGGTTCCTCCCCCTCATTCTAATAAATATTTTTAATAGTTTGCGAAATTGATTATATTCATTGAACTCACATAAGACTTTTTACATTTTAATTTCTTTTTCTAAAAAGTTCATATTTTCGAAATCAATCGAATTAGAAATTTTAACTAGAGAGAAAAAGATAAAAGTCCCGAAATTTCAGGATTATCAAGATGATTTCCTTAAAATTCTTGTAAAAACCTTCATTCTGGTAACAGAAGGGGATTAACTATAGTTTGATGATGTAAGAGTTATTATTCGTAACTGCAGCTACTTCAAACATTACGTATTCAAGACAAAATCAGTAATATCTAACAAAAAAAATTAACAAAAGAGGAAAAAAATCATTTAAGGCATTTAATGATTGTGGAACCAGTAAGTATTCTAATAGTATACTCCCACAGTGCAATTCACATACTACACGAGGAGGGTTGCGACTTTCGTATTTTTGTTGAAAAGGGGATTTAGGAAGTGTGAACACTGCTTATGACAGACACTAAATTCTCTTTATCAAAAAAGAAAAAAAATCCTTATGTAAACATGGGGAGGGTAATTGATTTTGCTGACAGTCTAAATCAATAAAAATGCACGCTGTGAATTTTTTTTGCTCTAAAGTTGTCTTCTGGATTGGATTCAAAATTACCAGGCTACGGAGTTGAGCATTAGTAGTCATAAACCCAAAATTGGGTAGGCTGTGCTCATGGACGGCTATAAAATATGAAATGCTTGTACTATTCGCCACTTTGTTATTGTTAAACCATGTTGAGTCTTTCAAAAAGTAGTCTGCATATTTTGCTTTGTAGTTTTCTACCGTATTTTGAAATACATTGTCGAGTCCCGAGAAGTTGGCATTTCTGGACAGGGTGACAGAAAGATGTGGAAATTATCAACTATCTGTACGCATTGGGTCAAGACCTAAAATTGCACGCGTGAACTATTTTTAAAATATGTCTTCACTGATATCAAACTCCTATCACGAAGATTTTCCATTGAAGCTGGAACGGAAGACAAATTCAAAATCTTAAACAGAAGTGCTATCATTATTACAGGTTTGATAATTCCGGAGCGAGAATATCCTAATTTGACTTATCAGCTCTTGTAGTGTGATTCACAGCTGTAATCACAAAATAAAAACTGTTTTAAGTTGAGATCGAGAAATACGTTTAAGATTGAAAAAATAAAAACAGACTTTTTGAAAAGATATTAATGATACCTAACTGGACCCAAATTCTTGAGGGTTGACACGACTGCCACAGATGGGGTGGGATCGAATAAAGCATCATTAGAAAGTTTTAAGACATCAAACTTGTCAATTTTTCTCCCTATTTGATGTGTATATCTTGATACATACAATCATTGCAATACCTGTGCAATATTACAGCGCCATCTGAGAACCAAAAAGCATAAATCTGTTGTTCTACCTTGGGTGCTATTTTACTGAAAAATCAGTCTGCAATTAGGTTCTTACAACTAATCACAGGGTAGGGTTCTGTAATCACGTGGTTGTGCTTCAGTTTCTCGAATTTTTGGAGACTCTTACTATGATGAACGTGATGTTTGTGAAATTCTAATGTTACTAAGGTGGTTTTTAGGAAGTTACAGAATTTTTCGTTACAACCTGGAAAACTCCGGTGAACGTTCGAAAACACAGTAATTGCCTTATCATTTATCTGTCATGAATTTGAGAATCAGTTATTAGGCATTTTACTTACATCGAATGAAATAAAATGTCTATATAACAACAAATCTAACAAAACATATAATAGATAAATCTAATAAAATATTCCTAAAAGGAAAAAGCAAATGCGGTGAAAATTAATAAAAATATTTAAACTATGAATTTCATGCTGCAGTCTACCTAAGACTACAAGATTATTTCAAAGAGACAAACTCCATAGAATTGAGCTTAAAATAATGAGCCAGTTTCCCGATACGGAGCTACGAATTGTTCTGACGATAAAGTTCGAAAACAAGATGAAAAATTTAATCGACTTTATTTTAAGAGAGTGGAGATATTCTTTCCGTCTCTTTTTTTTACAATTAAACGATTTTGCGTAGAATTCAAATGTTATATATGGGATGTTTAGAATAAAATATGTTATGTCATTTAAGTTTGGGCAGAGTTACAGTTCAATGAACAATAGAACGGAATTTCGATAAGAAAAATCTAAAATGTATTGTTGAATGATACTTACCTTTACCTCTAGGTGATTTCCTTGTATTTGAGGTGGATTTGGAACTGCTCTCTTCTTTCTCATGTTCAGCCGGGTTGCTTTCTTTTATTTCACTTTCTATAACTGTAAAAAAATTAAATAATTGCTGAAAAGAAAATCAATAAACTTTTGAAATACAAGGCCTTTTTTGTTAATGGATTTTTAGATAAAACGTAATTAAAATTTTTATATTTTCGATCTTAACGTAGGTTTTAAAAATAACACGATTTCAATAGCCTTTTATCAACAAAAGTTTTCTTTTTTCTTCTAAAGTGTTTAGACACAATAGGAAATGAGATTCGTTTCATTGCTTCATCTTGAAAACTTTGGTGTCATTACCAACTGTTTGAATTTTAATGTTCTAATAAATATTTTTAATAGTTTGTGAAATTGATTATATTCATTGAACTCACATAAAACTTTTTAAATTTTAATTTTTTTTTTAAAAGTTTATATTTTCGAAATCAATCGAATTAGAAATTTTAACTAGAGAGAAAAAGATAAATGTCCCGAAATTTCAGGATTATCCAGATGATTTCCTTAAAATTCTTGTAAAAACCTTCATTCAGGTATAACAGAAAGGGATTAACTATAGTTTGATGATGTAAGAGTTATTATTCGTTACTGCGGCTAATTCAAACATTACGTATTCAAGACAAAATCAGTAATATCTAACAAAAAAATTAACAAAAGAGGAAAAAAAATCATTTAAGGCATTTAATGATTGTGGAACACGTAAGTATTCTAATAGTATACTCGCACAGGGCAATTCACATACTACACGAGGAGGGTTGCGACTTTCCTATTTCTGTTGACAAAGGGATTTAGGAAGTATGAACACTGCTTATGACAGACACTAAATTCTCTTTATCAAAATAGAAAAAAAATCCTTATGTAAACATGGGGAGGGTAATTGATTTTGCTGACAGTCTAAATCAATAAAAATGCACACTGTGAATTTTTTTGCTCTAAGTTGTCTTCTGGATTGGATTCATAATTACCAGGCTACAGAGATGAGCATTAGTAGTCATAAACCCAAATTTGGGTAGGGTGTGCTCATGGACGGCTATAAAATATGAAATGTTTGTACGATTCGCCACTTTGTTATTCTTAAACCATGTTGAGTCTTTCAAAAAGGTATCTGCATTTTTTGCTTTGTAGTTTTCCACCGTATCTTAAAATACATTGTCGAGTCCCGTTGGCATTTCTGGACAGGGTGTCAGAAAGATGTGAAAATTATCAACTATCTGTACGCATTGGGTCAAGACCTAAAATTGCACGTGTGAACTATTTTTAAAATATGTCTTCACTGATATCTAACTCCCTTCAAGAAGCTTTTCCATTGAAGCTGGAACGGAAGACAAATTCAAAATCTTAAAACAGAAGTACTATCTTTATTGCAGATTTGATATTTCTGGAGCAAAAATATCCTAATTTGACTCGTCAGCTCTTGCAGTGTGATTCACAGCTGTAATCACAAAATAAAAATTGTATTGAAATTGTTTCAAGTTGAGATCGAGAAATACGTTTAAGATTGAAAAAATAAAAACAGACTTCTTGAAAAGATTAATGATACCAAACTCGTCCCAAACCCTTGAGGGTGGACACAACTGAAACAGGGGGGGGGGGTCGAATAAAGTATCAATAGAGAGTTTTAAGACATCAAACTCGTCAATTTTTCCCCTACCTGATATGTATGTCGTAATACATCTCCATTTAAATCAATATTCAATTAATTTCCTATTGCAATATTACAGCGCCATCTGAAAACAAAAAAGCGTCAATCTGCTGTTTTACCTTGGGTGCTTTTTTACCGAAAAATCATAGTCTGCAACTAGGTTCTTACAACTAATCACAGGGTAGGATTGTGCTTCAGCTATTCGAATTTTTTGAGACCCCTGTTATGATGAACATGACGTTTGTAAAATTCTAATGCTACTAAGGTAGTTCTTAGAAAGTTAGAGAATTTTTGGTTGCAATCTGGAAAACTCTGGAAAACTAGTTACTCGAATACACGGTAATTACCATATCATTCATCTGTCATGAATTTGAAAATCAGTTAATAGGCATTTTACTATAATCTAATGAAATAAAATGTCTATATAACAATACATCTAACAAAACATTATTACATAAATCTAATAAAATATTCCTAAAAGAAAGCAAATGCGGAGAAAATTAATAAAAATAATTAAACTATGAATTTTATGCTGCAGTCTACCTAAGACTACAAGATTTTAAAAAGACAAACTCCATAGAATTGAGCTTAAAATAATGATTCAATTTTCCGATACGAAGCTTCTGGAGCCCGCTCTAAATTGTTCTGACGATAAGGTTCGAAAACAAGATGAAAAATTAAATCGAATTTATTTTAAGAGAGTGGAGATATTCTTTCAATTTCTTTTTATTACAATTAAGCAATTTTGAGTAGAATTCAAATGTTTTGGAATCAAATTTTTGCGATTTAATACAAAACATTTTCAAACACTCCCCCCCTACAATATTTTTTGTCACTCTTTCATCGAAATAAAAATTTATATAAAACATATATTTAAAAATTGAACTAGAACGATCAATTCATATTCAATAGGAGTGTTCCCAAAGTTAGTAAAAATCCTGAATTGTTTGTAATTTAAGATAGGAACTTTTTTCATTGTAGTTTAATTCTCTGAAGGAAATATTTAAAATATTTAACATATTTGTAAAATTATTATTAAATCATTAAGCATTAATAATCATTAATTATTAAAATCATTAATTAAAAAAATCATTAATTAAAAAAATCATTAATTAAAAAAATCATTAATTATACATTTAATTATACATTTAAATCATTGATTATGCATTTAATTATACATTTAAATCATTAATTATACATTTAAATCATTAATAATTAAAAAAATTTAAAATTGTTATTAATCCGATTAACAACAGCTAAACAGTAAACTTCTCAAAAGTTGAAATTTTTGGAACAAGCTTCAAAAGCTCCGGTGCCCGGAACAGATATCTCTCTAACGGCAGAAAATACAATTTCAACTTATTAGTATGTTACACTTAGAAAAAAACAAATGTCTAACTGTGACGAAATATTTCTTTTGAAAAACTTAAATTTATTTTTAATTAAAAAAATTAGCATTTATTAGCATTTTTTCCAAATAAAAAGATATTTTATCCAGTATTTTTTCACATTTTGATCATGAAATAAAATCTACTCGACCGAAATTAGAAGATAGTTATGGCAAAGCATTTCAAGAGAACAGATTTCTTAGCTTCTTTTAATTTTTAACTGCAATCAAAAACTCTAACGAGGGCAAGTCCTGATTCTTACACAAACAATTGCTGCGTAAATGTTGACAAATTTAAAATTATCATTAACTAATAAAATTGTCCAACGTATTGGATGCTGGGTCTAATAAGCGTTGCTTGCCAACCTTGTTTTAAATTATTAATTCGAAATATATTATGTCATTTAAGTTTGGGCAGAGTTAAGTTTGGGCTCAAACAATAATAGAATGGATTTTCGATAAGAAAAATCTAAAATATATTGTTGAATGATACTTACTTTTAATTCTAGGTGATTTTCTTGTACTTGAGGTGGATTTGGAATTGCTTTCTTCTTTCTCATGTTCAGCCGGGTTGTTTTCTTTTATTTCACTTTCTATAAATGTAAATAAATTAATTACTGAAACGAAAATCAATAAACTTTTGAAATGTAAGGCTTTGTTAATATATTTGCAGATAAAACGCAGTTAGGATTTTAATATTTCAGATTTTGACATAAGTTTTAAAAGTAACAGGATTTCAGTAGCTCTTAATGAACCGAAGTTTTCTTTTTTGTGTGGGGGGTGAGGAGTCATTAAATTTTCATCTAAAGTTTTTAGACACAATAAGAAATGAGATTCATTGCTTTAGCTTGAAAACTTTGTTGTCCTTACTAGCTGTTTGAATTTTAATACTCTAATAAATATTTTTTAATACTTTGTGAAATTGATTATATTCATTGTACTCAAAACTTTTTACATTTTAATTTTTTTTAAGAGTTTGTATTTCTGCAATCAATCGAATTAGAAATTTTAACTAGATAGAAGATAAAATCCCAAAATTTCAGGATTATCAAGATGGACCTTAAAATACCTGCAAAAACCTTCATTCAGGTAAAACAGAAGTGGATTAACTATAGTTTAATGATGTAAAAGCTATTATTCGTTACTGCAGCTAATTCAAACGACATTTTTCAACACAAAATCAGAAATGTCTAACGAAAAGTAACAAAACGGGAAAAAATCATTTCAGGCATTTAGTGATTGTGAAACCCGTAAGTATTCTAATAGTATACTCCCTCAGGGCAATTCACATACTACACGAGGAGGGTTGCGTCTTTCGTATTTTTGTTGACAAAGGGATTTAGGAAGTGTAAACACTGCTTATGACAGACACTAAATTCTCTTTATCAAAAAAGAAAGCAATCCCTTGTTAATGGAAAAAAATAACTTTGAGAAAGGCTTGCAACTTCTTATGTAAGCATAAAAAAGCAATCTCATGTAAACATGGGGAGGGTAATTGATTTTGCTGACAGTCAGGTAGAAGTTCAAAATCAATAAAAATTCTCAGTGTGAATTTTTTTTAAAAATCTTGTTTTCTTTGAAACTAGGGGACAGTTACAGGTCACGTAATAGTGAGATATCAATTGAAATCAATCCTCATTCAACTACCCTATAAGAAGGAATTATCCTAGTTGCCTTTTTATACTCTTTGTAAATTGAATAAATGCCTGAAAATTACGTGATTTCTCTGTTCTCTAGACCTACCCCCCACCATTGCCAAGGGATTGGCAAATCTAGTTTTTTCCTTACGGTAATATATTTCAGTAAAAAGTTGGAATTTATGAGGGTGAACCCTTGAGGGTGACACAACTGCCACAGGTGGGGGAAGGGGATCGAATAAAGTATCAATAGAAAGTTTTAAGACATCAAACTCGTCAATTTTTTTCCCTACCTGATATGTATGTCTTGATACTTCTCCAATTAAAACAATCTTCAATTAATTACCTATTGCAATATTACAGCGCCATCTGAGAACCAAAAAATATAAATCTGTTCTGCCTTGGGTGCTTTTTTACCAAAAAATCATAGTCTGCAATTAGGTTCTTACAACTAATCGCAGGGTAGGGCTGTGTAATCACGTAGTTGTGCTTCCGTTTTTCGAATTTTTGGAGACCCCTCCAATGATGAACATGACGTTTGTAAAATTCTAATATTAATAAGGTAGTTTTTAGGAAGTTACGGATTTTTTTGCTGACGATCTGGAAAACTCCGGAAAACGTTCGAATACACGGTAATTGCCTTATCATTCATCTATTATGAATTTGAGAATGAGTTATTAGGCATTTTACTGAAATCTAATGAAATAAAATGTCTCTATAACAATAAATCTAACAAAACATATAATACATAAATCTAATAAAATATTCCTAAAAGAAAGCAAATGCGGAGAAAATTAGTAAAAATAATTAAACTATGAATTTTATGCTGCAGTCTACCTAAGACTACAAGATTTTAAAAAGACAAACTCCATAGAATTGAGCTTAAAATAATGAGTCAATTTTCCGATACGGAGCTTCTGGAGCATGCTCAAAATTGTTCTGACGATAAGGTTCGAAAACAAGATGAAAAATTAAATCGACTTTATTTTAAGAGAGTGGAGATATTCTTTCATTTTCTTTTTATCACAATTAAGCAATTTTGTGTAGAAATCAAATGTTTTGGAATTTTGGAATTTTTGCGTTTTAATACGAAACATTTTCAAACATTCCCCCCCCACAATATTTATCACTTTTTCATCATAATAAAACTAATATAAAACATATTTAGAAATTGAGAATTTGATTACCGGATTTAAAATAGAACGATCAATTCATATTAAATAGGAGTGTGTCCAAAGTTTGTAAAAGTCCTGAACTGTTTGTAATATAAGATTTGAACTTTTTTCATTGTAGTTTAATTCTCTGAAAGAAATATTTAAAATTTTCGTGAAATTATTATTAAATCATTAATTATTAATTATCAGTAATTATTTAAATCATTAAAATAAATAATTATGCATTTAAATTATTAATTCTTGAAATCATTAATTATGCATTTAAATCATTAATTATACATTTAAATCATTAATTATACATTTAAATCATTAATTAAAATATCTGTGAAATTATTATTAATCTAATTAACAACGGCTAAACGATAAACTTCTCAAAAGTAGAAATTTTTGGAACAGGCTTCAAAAGCTCCGGTGCCCGGAACAGATATCTCTCTAATGGCAGAAAATACGATTTTAACTTAGAAAAAAACAAATGTCTAACTGTGACGAAATATTTCTTTTGAAAAATTTAATTAAATTAATTTTTATTACAAAAAATTAGCATTTTATTTATTAGCATTTTTTCCAAATAAAAAGATATTTTATCCAGTATTTTTTCACATTTTGATCATGAAATAAAATCTACTCGACCGAAATTAGAAGATAGTCATGACAAAGCATTTCAAGAGATCACATTTCTTACCTTTGTTTTAATTTTTCACTGCATTCAAAAACTCCAATGAACGAGGGTAAGTCCCGATTCTTACACAAACAATTGCTGCGTAAATGTTGACAAATTTAAAATTATCATTAACTGATAAAATTGTCCAACGTATTGGATGCTGGGTCTAATAAGCGTTGCTTGCCAACCATGTTTTAAATTATTAATTCGAAATATATTATGTCATTTAGGTTTGGGTAGAGTTACAGCTCAAAGAATAATAGAACGGAATTTCGATAAATAAAAAAAATCTAAAATATATTGTAGAATGATACTTTACCTTTTCTTCTAGGCGATTTCCTTGTATTTGAGGTGGATTCGGAACTGCTTTCTTCTTCCTCTTGTTCTGCCGGGTTGTTTTCGTTAATTTCACTTTCTATAATTGTAAATAAATTAAAAAATTACTGAAGAGAAAATCAATAAACTTTTGAATTAAAGGCTTTGTTTGATAATAGATTTTGAGATAAAAGCGTGATTAAGATTTTAAGATTTTAGATTTTGAATTAATTTTTAAAAATAACACGATTTCAGTAGCTCTTTATCAACCGAAGTTTTCTTTTTTGTGTGAGGAGTCATTAAGTTTTCCTCTAAAGTGTTTAGACACAATAACAAATGAGATTCAATGCTTTAGCTTGAAAACTTTGTTGTCCTTACTAGCTGTTTGAATTTTAATGCTCTAATAAATATTTTTAATAGTTTGTGAAATGGATTATATTCATTGAACTCAATTAAAACTTTTTACATTTGAATTTCTTTTTTAAAAAGTTTATATTTAAGCAATCAATCGAATTAGAAACTAATTTATGTAAGCATAAAAAAGCAATCTTATTTGCATGCAATCTCACGCATGCATGCTAAACATGGGAGGGTAATTGGTTTTGCTCACAATTAGGTGGAAGTTCAAAATCAATAAAAATTCACACTAATGCGATTTTTTTTTAAATCTTGTTTTCTTTGAAATTAAAGGACAGTTAATAGTGAGGTATCATGTAATAGTGAGAAGTCAACTAAAATCAATCCTTATTCAAATATCCTATAAGAAGGAATTATCCTAGTTGCCTTTTCATACTCTTTGTAAATTGAATAAATGCCTGAATATTACGCGATTTCTCTGCTCTCTAGACCTATCTCCCACCATTGCCATGGTTTTGGCAAATCTTATTTTTTCCTTACGGCAATATATTTCAGTAAAAAGTTGGAATTTATGGAGGGGAGGCAAGATTCTTCGAAGCCATTGTAACGGAGAGTCGAAAAACTTGAGAGAAATCGCGTAACCTTGATACTCCTATCCTTGGCATAAACTTGCAATTAAAACTTTCAGGAAAATTTTTATTAAAATACTTAGAACAAAACTATTACGTTTTTCAATTAACCTATTTTTCCAATACACCTATGTAAATTTTATTTGATTCGCAATTTGAAATGATTTTCGCTAATTCGAAAAGGAGAAATATTCCTTATTTTCTGGCGTTTTAATGTAAACGCCATATCAATAACTCAGCCATCTAATCTATAAGTTACAATTCTGATTTATCATTAGTGAAATTTTAAAACTAATTTATTGCAAATTTTGATATGTTTTTAAGTTTAACTTTATTAGTAAACATTGTTTTCCCAAACGAGCGAAAAGTTTCGACTTAAAGCGCTGAACAACGTTAGTTGAAACCAGAGTTGTGAAGTCGGAAGCTCAAACTCTGTCCGAGTCAAAATTATTGATGGTCCCACAAAAAAATTTCGATGGTTTATGTTGGTTTCAATGCGATTCATGATAATCCGATCATTTGATGGTCACCATCATCCAACATTTTCTATTACGTGTTCATGGCTTTTTATATTCCAACTAACTTCTATCATTCTAGGATGGAAAATGATATTTTGATTAACCATCAAGATAAGTTTAACTCTCATGAGCCCTGATCTGAAAAGACTCATGATCCATAAGGGTTCATGTTGGCTCCAACTACAAATTTCCACGATGGAAATTCTTATTGATTCTCAGCAATATACCATCAAAACAGTTCAGTTTTTTTTATGTAACACTATCATAAATCAGTCCGAATTCTTACATTGGGAAGATGGTGGTTCATGATCGTTCCAACATTTGATTTCGAAGATACTTTGATGGAAATTCGTGATGATTTAACATGAACAAACCATCAAAAAAAGTTGCTATTGAACCATCATAAATCAGTTCGGATAACCACATTGAGATGATGGTTATTGTGTTGGTTACCATCAAGATTATGCTGGTCCAATGGAAAACCATAAAAAATTTTGACTTGGGTGGTCTTTTCAGAGATCAAAAACTTCACTGTCCGTCGAATCACTGAGGATAACGGAGAAGAAAATTAAAAGCTTGAAGTTTAATCACTTTAAAAATCGAAAACGAGGCATTAGATGCTGTATTATATTCGCCTTTAAGAATAATTTGGCCATCAAACTAGTTTAGTTTCAAGACTTTTCCGCTAGACATTAGACAAGACTCTGGCGTCACGACTTCTCTGCTAGACATCGCCTTCCAATGAAGTGATCCTGGGTTCGAACCCGGTGATGGCTGGTCGATACGAATTCTGCATCCGGCTTGCACCGACCACAGTGCTGACGTGAAATTCTTCAGTGGTAGACGGATCATGGGTTAGAGTCTGTTTGACATCAGGCTAACCGTGGGGGATGCTTTCATTAGTGGTTCCCAACTTATTTTGACCAATTTCACTCTCCGCAAAACCACAGAATGTAGGCATACAATATTTATTCAGATTATTATTGTTTAATAACAAGTTTTTAAAAATTTAAAAAAAAAAGCATAGAAAACTTTGATATGCCAATAACTTTATTGTTTAATTTTTTCTTCTATGTTAACAAACTTTTATGTTATGCTTATGTTAGAAAAATGATTAAATTTAGCAAATGAATGTGTTTTTAGTCGCTTTTTGCTTAATGGGATGCTGGGGATTGTTTTCTGCTTGCTAATTCTTCGTCACAGGACAGAGCTAAAAAGAAAATAGAGTAGGGCTGGTTCATTCCTTACTCAAAGCTGAAGCTACGATTCCACACCTCATGACGTCACGCTTCACACAGATCACGAAAATCGCAGCTTAAGGATATGAAAACTTTGCTGCTTATACTTTCCGTAAGAAATGAGCTCGACACTTTTCTGATACTAGCTGTCAAACTTTACAGTGCTAACAAATTATTTCTGCTAAAAAATATAGTATTCATACTTTTTGTTGGTATTTCTAATAGTATCAAAAAATAACATTTTAAAATTAGGAAAATTTCAACTTCTGTCATTATTTCATTATCGTTTTCTAATTTCAGATTTTAACTTTTGCTGTTAAATAAAAAAAAGAATATAAAGGCACTTTTACAGTTACATGCTGTTCAATTACAATAGTTTTTTTAATTGGGATGTCCAATTTTAATATATTTTCGTATATTGTCATTAAATAAGACCCTTAACTGCTAATTACTAAAAAACTAATCTTTGAGTATAGGATAATAACACATAAATATTTTGAATAATAACATTAAAAAATACATTCACTATGGAATTGGAAGAATTTTTTAGCAATAATAACTTTTATTTTTGAAGTTCAGGATTTAATTTTCTTTGACCTTGCACATTTTTTCTTTTCTGTTTAAAATTACGAGGCGGTATCGATTTCAATGGCTAATTAAAGTTTTTAAACGTCTAAACGAAAAACAATAATTTTTTTTATTCACAGAAATTCTTCTAAGACATTTTTTAATTCATTTGATCTCACTCTGATATTTTCTGAAGTAAAACATGGAAAATTACGTTTTCTCAATTTTGTGTATTATAATAATTCTTGCCGATGACATTTGACTTAAATTTTTGCAATCAGATGAGAAGAAAATTGCCTCAAAATTATGAAAAGTAATGAATGTATTGAAATAAGTTTCGAAAAAGAATGCCATGAGAAACAATTTATTTTTAAGCGGAAGTTCGTACTGCGACGCCGTGACGTCACTGACTGAAATCAGAAGCTCGGAGCTAGACAAGTCTCTTCTAAGGAGTAACCTTGCCCTTCTATTCATTCTTTAGCTTTTGTCACAGGGTAGCGCGCTTGCAAGGACAAACCATTGGTCACTCTGAACTTCCAATCTCTATTTCTTTGAGTTTTTTTTTTCCATTTGCAACTAAATTGAGAAGTTTATCACAAAAGTGAAAACGCTTTGAGAGTAGAGGAGAGTGGGGTCAATTGTAACATTTTTTACTTAACTATTTTTAACTAACAAAAAACCCAATATATTATCAGTATTAATTGACAGACGAGTAAAGTAGACTATTCTCTACTAGAAAAAAAAATAAATACCTTATTTTAAATGTTATTATATTAGTAATTAACAATTTTCGACAGTCGTGCACTTGTTACAATTGTCCCCACTTACGGGGTCAATTGTAACAGTTCATAAATTCAACTAAAACTTAGTTAATTATACATATTATCATAGCTGTGATATATTTTTTTATTGATCAAAATAGTAGTGATATTTTAGGAGTAAAAATAATAATGAGCGGAGACCTAAAGGGTTAAACTTTTAACTTTAAGGGGTTAAAAATTTTAATTTATGCTGTGAAAGGTGACAAATAAAATAGTGCACATGCAACATAATATAAATGATATAGGAAACTATTGGCGGTTCTTAAAGAGTTAAGTAATTGTTTGTAAGCATAAGATTATTTATTTTCAGCTGTTACAATCGTCCCTTTACTTATTGTTACAATTGTCCCCAAGACGCCATTTCAGCTTCATTTGTTAAAAACAATGCTAGTTAATTAACTAAACTAATCTTTTTTTTCTGAAATGTTAATTAAGGTGTCCACTTACATATTCGATTAATAATTTTTATTTATTTAGACAAAATCACTTTGTTGCTATGTAATATTCTAATACCAAAACAATTACTTACGTAGCGTGAAAATATCTTTTGTGATGTAACACATTCAAAAGTAACTAGAAATGGTTGCCAGCAGGGGTGTACATGTAGATTTATTAAATACACCTTGTGCGCCACCTAGGAACCAAATCTAAAACCCGACACTCGAAATTTTTGCTCTGTTACAATCGTACCCTGTTACAATTGACCCCACTCTCCCCTACTTATGGATAAGATTTGCACAGGCGACATTTCTGTGACTAATCTACATTCATATATGCCTTTTGCTTGGTGGTAATTTTTCTGCCCAAGAAACTAGTCTTGCAAAATATGAAAAACTTTTTCAAAGAAAAAAGAATCCTTTTTGAATTAATTTCTGTTCGAGAAAGCATACCCTAAATTCCGTTCGCGAAGATACAATGGGGGTTGAAATCAAGTATAATCTGATTATTATCGCGCCCCCTTCAAAGTGTGAAATGCCCCCTCCCTCTTGTTGAGAATCATAGGTTAACATTTTACCATTACTTATTTAAATGAGTCGATACGAGACACTCTATACTTTTTCTAACTCCCTAATAAAATAATAGTTGTAAACATTTAAGATAAATTAGGAATGGAAATCCTAAACATTGTAAAATATACTTACGTGTGTTTACACTACGTGATGCAACATAGCCTTCCAATTCTCTTAATGTTTCTGGTCTCAATAAAGTAAAATGAATAGACGTCCCCTCCGGACAATCTTCTAGAGTATCTGGATCTCTTGCCTTAATAATTCTATAAATGTGTTTGTGGTCGTCATCTGAAAAATAAAAACGTTACTTTCATAACAAACAGAAACCAAAATTTATTCAAAATACAAACCAAATACTTTACAATTTTTAGAATTTTACTTGGATTTAGGAATGTATTACGGTTTAAGAAAGAGAATTTTTGTTTTAAGTTAAAGCTGATACATTAAAACACAAAAAAAAGAAATCAATAAATATTCAAAGATTTAAAAAATATAGACGGAGGGCAAGTTGGCGACTTTAGGGTTACCAGTATCTTTTAAGCGAGAAAAAACTATCACATAAGATGCTGCCAAAGTTGAAAGTGATTGGATACTTAGAGACTATGTTACATTACATGTTAGACCAAATTTTTGCATTAGTATTAAGTCAAGCAAAATACTCAGAGGTTAGGCAAATAAAATCATCTCGCAAATCTCCCTATCTGCTCGGAAAGTCAGGAAGTATAAATTACAATAATTAAATGTTAAAATTGTGGTATTTGAAGAGCACCGTTTGTAATGAAAAAAATTGTGAAAAATCTCAAAAAACTTTATTAAAAATAAAATTTATAAAAAAAAAATATAAAAAAAAATCGCAATCATTTTAGGCTTAAAATTCTTTCTTGTACTTCGTGTAAAAGAACGCTTTCAGTTGCTAAGATAAATGTCCAACTATTCAGAGAATTTCTAACAATAAGCAATGTAAAAAAAAATTCTTATCTAATAACGTAGATAAGTTTGAATTGACTTACCCTGCGCAACGAGTTCTCTTTTTTTTGCTTTTTTTTTATAATTTATTGGGGGGGAAAAAGGAAATTACACTTTCTCGTAAGTGGAAATTTGTGGCCTAATTTGGATTTAAGAAGAGTTTAATAGAAAAGGAACTTGAATCATCTATACAAAGCTAAACATAAATTTCATAGCAATTCTTGTAAGATTATGGAACGGTGTAACTAATTAAGTCTGGCATTCATTGGAAATATATTAATAATTCGATATAACTCGTACGAGAAGTTCGCTATTACGACAGGCTTGCAAACCGCAGTCAAAGCGCGAAGATTAAAGATATAATAATTGCATATTTATAACGAGTTAAAAACTACCAGCGTCCTGCAATTGTGGGAAAAATATTCTAAGATAAATAATTTTTTCTGCTAACGAGGTGAGGATGATTTTCTTATTTCTGCTGACAAGCTGTAGGACGGGTATGAGCATTGCTCACGTAAGGTATTAAAAATCCCTTATTTTTCAAAATTCTCTTATAAACCAAAAGAAAAAACGTAGCTAAATATTAAACATGGAGTAACTTAAAACGTAGAATAAAAGTTGAATTCGGGGAAAGAAAAAAATTGGGAAATATTTTCGAAAAATTATACACACTACTGCCATTGCAATTGCTGCACCAAGAAGGCGACACAACACGAACGTGAAATTTGCAGGACAGTTAAAACATGTTATGGTATGTAAATGAGTAGCTTATGAGCTCATTTATGCAAAGCAGGCGGCGGTAGCGGCACCTACAATGTGTAGAAAAGAGATTTGACAGTAAGTTTTTCATATAGAAATTGAATTTGAACTTTGTTATTGGGTAAAAAGTTTGTTATGCCTCATGGCCATATGGCCTTAAGGGATCGTACAGCTACGTCACGAATCCTGAGTCAACAAATGGGGTCATTAGCAAGACAACAAATGTTTGCACGAACAGTTCGACGACGTTTGCAGCAGCATGGATTATCAGCACATTGACCATAGCTTTGACTACCCTTGACGGTGCATCACAGGCAGGGGTGCCTCCAGTGGTGTGATCAACAACGAACCTTGACGTAGGAATGGCATGACGTCGTCTTTTCAGACGAATCCAGGTTCTGTATTCCGCATCATCATGACAACATCCTTGTTTGGCGACATCGTGGAGAACGCCCATTGGCAACTTGCATTCGATATCGTCATACTGGCCCATCACCTGGTGTAATGGTATGGGATGCCATTTGATACACGTCTCGATCACCTCTTGTTCACATTGCTGGCACTTTGAATAGCAGCTGTTACATTTCTGATGTGTCAGGTCCAGTTGCTCTGTCTTATCTTCGAGGCCTCCATAACGCTACGTTTCATCAGGACAATGCACTACAGCATATTGCCCGCACTGTCCTGACCTTCTTTCACACTGAACATGTTTGCCTGTTGCCCTGGCCAACACGTTCTCCTGATCTCTCACCATTAGAAAACGTGTGGTCAATGGTTGCCAAACGACTGGCACGCCACCCCTTGTCAGTCACTACGGTTGATGAATTTTGGAATAATGTTGATGCTGCATGGAATGCTGTACTCGTCTATGCCAACCAATCTCTGTTCAACTCGATGCCTAGGAGAATAACTGCTGTTATTGCTGCCAGGACAGCCTCTCAACTCAGAGCAGCCTCTGCTCTGAGTATCGATTCCTCAGGATCTATTTATCAAAATATCCTGAAAATTTACTAACTTGTTCTTCCAACTATAATGTATGTTCCTATTAAATATCATTCTGTTATTTGCATTCCTTCCTGGTGTAGCAATTTTAATGGCCAGTAGTGTAGAAATAATTACATATTATCAATTATATATATACGTCATAAAGAGAAAATACAAATTCTTAAAGAATATTAGACTCAAATTTTCTAAAATGATTTTAAAACTTAAACATTATACCTGCCTAGTTGCAGAGTTGCATCTTTTTATTTGAGTTTAATCCTAAAACTAGATAACTATAGTAAAGTCAAAGTTTAAGCAAAACACAGGGGTGTTGCAACTTTCTTACAAACGACTGGATGGGGATTTATAAATTAGTTATTTTTATTGATAAGGGGGGAGTTCGAAATTTCCAAAAAATAGGGTTACGTAATATTTGAACTGTCCATAATATAAAAAATGAAAGATCTGTCTGGAATCAATATGTAAAATGCAAAAATGATTTATTCTTATTTTCTTCTTTCAATCTTATTTCTTTATGTTAATAAAGCAAAGAGATGCGGATAACCACCTGACAAGTTATATTACTCTTTCAACATAAAAAAAAAACTAAATAAAATTAGTTTTCTATTTTAAAGACTTCTGCCACACTCTTCAAATGCCTGTGCTTTTGTTTTGGCAATTTGTCATCCATTATTTACCTTTTTGACAGCTTTAGATTGAAATCAACATTCAATGCTATCAATGACAGCAAAAACAATTCTACACTATCACACTCCAATCTTTGTTATTGCAATTTTAACATTAAATACACGTATTTGCTTATTACGACAAGCTCGATAAAGCTAATTTCAAATGCTGTTAGACTTAACCGTTTTAATGGACTTTTACAGCAATAAGTTCACTGAGAAAAAAACTGCATTTGTCTGAGGATAAACTATGAAAATTTACGCATGCAAGTTTAGTAGACGTCATAAGGAGAATGAAAAGCAGTTTTAATGTGCAGGCTACGAAACATAACAAAAAGTTTCGTTTTTAGCATCTAACTCTTGTGCAAGATGCTTCTGTCACAATATTTCCAACAACGTGCTGGTAGAAGTCGACGGGCAATTATCACAAAAATAAATTTATTTCTATAAATCCCACAATGAGTTGCAATTTACTACCTTTGGTAAAAACATCTGGGAATTTTTTCCCACGGAAAAGATTAAAGAAATTGAGATTTATTATTGTTATTCGTATTATCTGATATACACCAGTATTACCCTTTTACGAGCCCGAAAGTTCGATGTTATATTTTTTTTAGGCTTTTAGACAATACTGAAAAATTCAGAGAAACTGAAGCAAAATTATTATTATTATTTTTGCCTCCTACCCCTCCAACTTTCTAGCTAGTCTTAATAAGTGGGCAGTCCACTTCTGGGAATAATTAATATTTTTTTCACAACAAGATTTATTTTACTTGATTAAATATAGGATGTAATTTTAACGAAATACATTCATCACAAGAGCTCCTTCCCCCTTTTATTTGCTTCAATAGGTTTGCAATCATTCTTTTCGTTTCAGATTTACACAATGTTTAAAACTTGAAACCAATCACGGAATTAATGGTTCTATGTTAGTTATACGACAAATTACAAAAATTCTCATTCAAATGAATGTAAAAATTACCTGGCAAATTTTCTATAGATTTAGATAAAGCCCATTTCTCCTTAAGTGTCCATCTTTTTTCAGTAGCCATTACTCAAACTTTCGGGTTTTAGGATGCACTTTGGAGATTTAAAAGGAGTGCAGAAATTGGCAGTTGCAGCTTCTGAAAAAAAAAAAGAATTCAATGTCCTAGGAAACATTATGATTTATCTTCAGCTTATTTCCAACTAAAGAAAGAAACACATACTCGAATAAAATATAAAAAAATCTGCAATCATATTTGGTATAAAAAATAATTTGAAAAAAATCCCCATAAAGCAAAGTTCCTACAACAAGGGAAATTTTATTCTGTTAAAAGTAAATGCTGGAAATCGCAGCTATTTTGCACTTAAGAAATTGCTAACAACAAAAGTAATAACGAGGAAAACAAAGTTTCAGGTTTATAAAAATATAATCAGACCAACCGGTATCTATGAAACTGAGACATGAATTCCAACCCAGAAACAAGAAAAAATGCTGATTTCCTGGGAAAGAAAATTCTTAGAACTATTTTAGGGCCTGTCAAAGAGTGATCTGTGGAGAAAGCAATACAATTTTGAAATTTTCAAGACTATTTAAAGAAAAAGATATAAATTATGTAAAAGCAAAGAGAATTTAATGGCTAAGACACCTTGAGAGAATAGATGGAAACAGAGGCAATATGAAGATATTCAAGGGGCAGTGCCAGGGCCAAAGAAAAAGAGGAAGGCCGGTCAAGAGATGATTTGACGAGGTGGAAAAAGACTTTAAGACTCTAAAAGTCCGAAGCTGGAAACAAAGAGCTAGAAACAGGCGACTTTGGAGGAAAACTGCTAGTGAGGCTAAGATCCAACATGGACTGTAATGCCAGGGAGTTAGTTTAAAAAGTAAAATAAAACAAAATGTTCACCAGAACGTCCAAATTCTTATACAGCGGAGAGCTATTTGCCACATTTTATGCTATATACCAAAAGTTTCTTACGTACTTTCTAAAATACTCTTACAGCCCAGCGAGACAAAACTGTTCGTGATTAAAAGCCAACCATACATGGTATCTGTCCCACCACAACCTATTAAGATTTCATACTTTAAAACGTGAATAAATCCCAAAAAAATAATTTGAAAAAGCTACTACTAATTAACCATCACGAAAAGAACTCCAGACAGGAACCTATCAAGGAAATGAGAAAAAACTGATTGTATTTAATTTATAATATGTTTTCGGGATCAGTGAAATATCCATAATTACAATGACTATTCAATGGATATGTAAATCATACACAATTTAATAGTTAACCCTAGTAAAATACTTTAAGTTTGCGTAATACTAGTAAACTTTTGTGTAAATCATCTTGATGTCCTTAAAAGGAGATGTCATTTAATTTACTGGCGATCCGATCCTATTTCTAAAATGTAAGTAGCAAAATGTTACAAAATGCACGTTACAAAATGTATTTTCTTCGTTGAAATAAATTAGTCCTATCAAAGTCGTTTAGGCAAATCAGTTACATGGAATGTAATTCGTTGCTTTGAAATAGATTTGTGCTTTGCAATGCATAACAATCCTCTTAACTGAAGCAAATCGGTGTTTCACATTACAATATAATCCTTCTAATTGAAAAAAAATTCTACTGATTTACAAGACAATGGAATCTTACTGACTGAAACATATTATACTGATTTACAATACAATCTTCCTAATCTGAACAAATTATAGTAATTATCAAAGTTCATTTATCAAAACAAATTACTGTTTTTACAGTTCACTCCTTTTGAAAGAAACAAATTAGAGTTTCACATTCTTATCTCTTTTCGTTTCTTCCTTATTGAAACACATTAATAGTTTAATTTAACAAACACAACGTACCTTACGTAAGTTAATAGAAAAACTGGTTAGAACTCGCACTAAAAGCAGAAAATTTAATTTTAGTATAAAAACCTAATCATATTTAATTGACAATGAGAAATAAAATTTCAATTAGTTTTACGAATTCTGGAATAACACCAAAAGTAAATATTCTTATTTAGTCAATACAGTAAGGATTAAATGCTGTTAAAAAATTGAAAAAGAACTTGGATTGAAATTAGTTTTTAACAACTTCAATACAAAATAATTTTTCTGCAATTGCATAAAAAATTTTAACAATAAATCTAAAACAATAATTCGAAATACTTACATTGGTTTCTGTTATCTAATGCTCAGAGTGATTTTGAACTGCACAAATTTAGGCTCCACAGTGATGATGACATTTCACTTACGAAATTTCATAGAATTGACGTTAGGGGGCATCTTAGCCCAAACGGTTTCGTGGTTACGCGAAACGCTTTGTAGCGTGGAAGAAGTGGGTTCGAGTCCCCTCGTAACCCTGAAAGTACCCTTGTGATGTCCTTCTCTAGCTGATCGCCCTGTAGATCATCGGAGTCAAGCATCACTAGGAGCGGTCAGTGAGCGGGTGAGTGACTACTTTCATCTACCTGTAAAAGGATCGAGGATGGAGGGTATCGGCCATCATTAAACTCTACCATAAACAAATACCATAAACAAACTTCACTCACAGGTCGTCGGGTAACTAAAGCAAAGGAGCCAACCACAAGTCTGGAAAGGGACCGAGGGTACGCAGAATTGGTTCTCAGGTCGTCGGGTTACTGAAGCGATGGAGTCATTCACAAGGTTTGGTTTATTGGTACAACATACAATTGCAGGTTTGTGTGCTAAATTAAGGCTTATGAACCTTTGTCAAGTAGAAGGACAGATAGCACAATACAGAGAAGGACATCACAAATAATCCATCCAGAGTTAAGGCGGGATTCGAACCCGCCCCCTCCACGCTTACAGAGCGTTTGGCGAGCGATACCGCACGGCCCATTCACAAGGGTTATCAAACAAGGGAATTTCGACAGATAGAGGAGAATTGTCTGAATCTTACCACTTCTCGCCTTGTAATTTTCATTGTTCACAAATCACTGACCATTGAAATATTTTAATGATAAAATACAGTTATTCAGCTACTTAGTTTATTTTTTTTTAAATATTACTATTCATGCAGGAAGCACAGAAAATTAATTCTTTTTACAAGTATTATACAAGGGGTGAGATTCAAATAACCAGTTGCCTGTTTCGTACCAACAGCTCTCTAAATTGTAGCGACCTAGAAAATTTGAGCAGAAATGACAAAACAGGTAAATAGACAAAGAGTGATCCAAAACAAGTGCTAAATACGATATGGTTAAATGCAGTACTACATTTTCTGAATTATTACGAATTTAGTAAAGGACATTATAAGTAAAACAAACTGTCATAAAACATGACAATTTGTTACTAGAACGCTCAAGTATGACTTTTACTTGGAAATAAAGGCATATTTTATTAAAAATTATCATTACTTATAAAAGAAATTATAAGGTTCAATGTTTAAAAGGTATATGGTTTAGTTATGTTTCAGGTGCAACATGCAGAACTTTTTATTTTTTAAGCTTTTGACGGCAGATTTTTAAGGAGTTCAATTTCCACACCGCAAACATTGCATCATATCTTCAATTGAATGAGCCTTACGCACCAAGTAAACCATTCTTCAGGATTAAGGCTCTTTAGGATTTACTTCAATGATAGCATCATCCTGAAAAGAAGTAGACCTTTGGTCCAATATACACACCTAACGTGCTTCGATTCCTTGCATCGAGGTGCTGTTTTCTTTAATTTAACTATAGAGTTTTAAATTTCTTGAACTAAAATTTTAGATTTTTGATCTAACTTCACTAATTTTATAAACTCCACCTCTTTAGCTCTTTCTTTGGCGAGTTTAAGTTCAATCGATAGTTTCAGTTTATTTTTATAAGGGTTGTGTGTTTAAATTACAGTTTTATGTAATTAAGAGTCCCACAGTGGACTGATCGTAGAGACACGGTTCCCAGTAGAACGCCGAAGTCAAGCCCCACTGTCTGTGGTCAGTAAGCGAGTGGGTGACCACTTTGATCCACAATTTGCGTCGGGACCAAGGGTGCGCGGAATTGGTCCTCATTAAACTGTTCTACCGTAAAGTGCTCGACTTCACTCACTGGCCGTAGTCCGCGGGCTACCAAAGCGGAGGATCCATTACCTCTGCAGAGGATCAAAATCGTGATGGCTTGTCTTCGGATCATCCTCAGGGATGTTTCCCAGACTGTCGCCAATATCCCATTGTGCAGCTTTAGTGTGAAGTAAATAGAATACATACCTACCTGTAATTTGGAAGTAACCTTTTTTCCTTTCAGGTTTTGGAATCTAGGAAATTGGTTCGATAGAACCTTTAGTGCAAATGAAGGCGTTGAAGCAAATTGGGAGGCCTCCCTGGCCGAGCGGCATCACCCGCTAAATGCTCTGTTAAGCGTGGAGGTGGCGGGTTCGAATCCCGCCGTAACCGTGGATGTATTCTTTGTGATGTCCTTCTCTGTATTGTGCTATCTGTCCTTCTACTTGAAAAAGGTTTATAAGCCTTAATTGAGCACACAAGCCTACAAATATATGTTGTACCAATGTTGAAGCAAATTGGACGGTTAATTCGAAAGCAAACACGTGCATACTTGCATTACAAGGAGGCTCACCACTTGGCTCCAGTTGTTTCGTCTTCGCGATTGAATTTAAATCTTTGAACAGAATTTTCAGCTGTTGCTGCCGTAATGTAAGTCAAGATTCGAATCTTGCTATTATGAGATTATCAATCTAGGATAACTTCGCAGCCTCTTTTCAACTAAAAGAGCTTGTAAAATGACCATTTCATAGGTTGAAGTAGATGCGTTGTATGTCCTGGTAACTGTAACAAAATTTATCCAGCATTCCCGGCTAACTCCAAAGCGTCTTAATTTTTTAAATCAGTCAAATGATCATCTAAAGGAAGTATTGTATTATACGGAAACAGGTAGACAAATTTGCATTTCATGAAATCATCATTAAAATACCTTCTTTTCACAAAATCTTCAAGTGCTCCCCCCATCAAATATTTTAGACAAATAAAGAAAATGTATCATTTGTTTTAATTATTTAAAGTTAAAAACATGAAAAAATAAAATAATTAATCTTTTTGCGGGATATTTAGCACATTTAGGAAATTCTTTTACATTAAGAAATTTAGAGAAATATTGTTGCTGCGTAATTTAATTTCATCCTCCTCAAAAATTTGGTCTGTTGCGACATCTATAATTTGAATATTGTGTTAATGAATAATTTCATGTTATTTTTCATATTCTTGACTGTAAAACATTGATAATTATAGTACTTGTGAGCGATTTAATGTTTAAGTTTTTGCCACCTTTTCGTGGGTTCCAATCACTGTGCGATAAGATAATAGTTTAGTAGTTATAAGGGTTTTAAGTTCTAAAGGTACAATTTTGTACTTGTAACTATTTATTTCCTTGACACCGTTAACTAAAAAAGGAGGTATTGTATTTTTAACCCTGAGTCAAACGAAATCAAACTCCAGTTGATGGAACCAATAGTTTAAAAGTTACTCGCGGAGGGTATAATATGCGTTACTTTTTTAACTAGTAGGGGAAGGATGGACAAAAAGCTGTATATAGTTTAAAATATTTTTAAGAAATTTAAAAAAAATAATTAAAAAAGCTCCAAATGTTTTCCCGAAATTCATATGACTTATAGCATTTTCTTTTTATCGAGAATGCTTAAAAAATCTTAATAAATCAATGAAAAGAAGTAAAAAAGGAATTTCAGTATTAGAGTTTTGATTTTTTAGCTTTAACCAAATTATTCCACATTCCTTTCGTTCATCACAAATGCATAAGGTGCTCTTTAACATAATAGCATACATTAAGTGTAGTTTATAAATCATTATGTTAAAATTCTTCACAAATAAAGTTAAAAGAAAAATGCATTTTAAGATGCGTAAATTATTATTGAATCAAAGGACAAAGAAAAAAGTTATAAAAATTTGACGAAACAATAAAAAAAAATCAAAGAAAACATTAAAAACCCGTTCTTTTTCTGGGTGAAATAGAGAGGAGATAAAAAACGATTCGATTAATCAAAACATCTTTAAAAGAGTTAGTCTCTAATATTACAAAAAAGTTCAAACAATTTTATTTAAATCCTGAAATTTTTTTTAAATGAGCCTACTGAATTATTATTTACTTATTTTGGAAATAAAAGACATAAGCTTTATTTTTTAAGGTTTAAGTTGTTGTTCATTTACGCCACACTAGAGCTACACAATGGGCTATTGGCGACGGTCTGGGAAACGTCCCTGAGGATGATCCGAATCCAAGCCATCACAATTTTGATCCTCTGCAGAGGGGATGGCACCCCCGCTTCGGTAGCCCATTTGAAAATAGATTGT